TGAGCTTACATAGCAAGAAAATTGAAGAGGCTCCAACCTTTGTGATGTTGTCTTGGTACTGGAGAGGTTTGTTGTGTGCAGTAAAGCCTACTAACCGTTGGAGTATGTGAATAATGAAGAAAATGATAGGCTACACACATTTTAGGTTTAGCGCATTACTCGTATGCTTCAGGTGTGCAATCTCCCGTCGGAGCATACACCCTTTGACCACTGTCTTGCTCATTCTACCTGCATTCTGCATGAGTGTTTAAGGGTACTCGTAATCATCAAAGAATAGAGCAGCTCTGAAGAAGAATGAAGGCCTTGAATCCTCTCTTACCGGCCACCAATTACATACTAAATCATATCCAAGACAATCAATCTTCCCCGAGTACTGGACCTTACTTGTAACATCTTGCTCCCTCAGCCCATCTTTTTCCGAACTTTGCCTTCCACTTCTGACATAGCAGGCGACTAGAATACTTACCTACCTTACTGTACACCCTTAACGCCCATGTCTAGACAACTGGAGCGTCAATAATACTGCTTACTGCTGCCAACTTGTCCAGTGAAGATGGACAATCTTTGTACCTTTGTTCAACCTCTCGGAACTGCCTTCCATCTTAGCTGACAGATGACTTTGCCATGCCCATGTACTAATTGTCTTCATGGCACCATCCTTTCACCACTTAGAAACACTGCAGATACAAACTAAAACTTCACGTGGCCTGTGTCCTGCATCACGATAATGGCAAGGTTGCCTGCGAATATGCGAGGCGTCCCAACAGGCCTGCACGCGTCCTTCATCAATACTTTGCTCCAATAGTAATAATATATTGACGTACAGCTTCTCCATCTCACCTGAACCGAGTCACCAGCACCTGTTCCCATTTGAAGCCTGGAACATCCTCCGCTGGGCTCTATGGTCGGTAATGGCCCAACAATCCTTCATTGCATCTTGCATCCTACGCTATTCATGAGTTCCACAAATTTCCAAGGCTTTATTGTAACCCTCGAAGCCAACGGTCACCCTTGTCATGAACAATCTTTCTGCCGGAAAAGATCATGGCCGCTCCCTGGGACCGTCGAAATACCCGTCCCATTCTTGCTACTCACAACAGCTATCATGGCCAAACCACTACCTTCCAGCCTCCCCTTTCAGAACATCCTGGCCACCCGAGACCCCCAAAGCCTTCAATTTCCGAGCATCATGGCCGTGGAACTCCCTTCGGCCCTCCTCTTGAAGAGACCAATCTTGTGCCGGTTCCATACTATGAGGCTTACACCATTAGGCCAGATGATTTAACGTCCAGTGAAGAACGATGGTTACTTCCACCTAAGAAGTTGATACCGGCAACCCAGGAAGACCTCCATGCAGAGGTAATCAGACAAAGGCAGAGTGGCCGTACCGCTTGCAGAGAACTCGAAGATTGCCATGGTCCAAAACGGCAGTACATCGACAGATTCATCACGGAGAGGAATGCCACTACCTCGCTCGGCCATTTTGAAGTGGCCCAGCTCAGGCTTGAACGGGTTCCGAGAGATTCTGGGAAGGCTTCTAACCGCAACAATGGCCGAAACTACCATGCCCGTGATTACAAGCAAAAGGATTCCACAAAACCTAGGCAAAAGACGGTGTATATGCACATCATCCTGCAGTTTATGAAGAACCCCAACAGGCTTCTTGCCGAAGTCCCGCCAGTGAACTTTGCTCCTCGTAGTTCGATTGACGGCAATAGCCATTGCAGTGGGAGGCAGCATACCTCAGAGGAGCAAATATTAATACCTCCGATGTCCTCCAACGATCAGCCTTCCGCATTGCCTGGAATCAGCCGGCGACCTGTCCTAGCTCGAGGGTGCTCTTACAATACGGGGAACGAGCAAGTCATTTCGCCCCCGGGTCGCTACATTTCTCGAGGCACTCAAACCACTTTCCAGGCACGCATTTGGCCCCACAGTGACTGGTGTAGTGCTGACAATACTGACGACGCAACCCTTGAGGGCGCTCCCGAGGAGGATGCCTGGACTACGACTACCAGCGTCGAGGAGGAAACGCTCAGAGACTCACACTCCCACGATGATGAGGTCGTTCCCATGGGCAATTCGGTGCCCGCGTATGAGTTCGCAAATGAGTTGACTGAAAAAGAGTCCAGGGGCAGTGATGAATACGAGAAGCCGCCTTGGTTTCAAAATTTGCAGCCCGGTCCGTTGCTCCTTCACCTTCAGATATGAAACGTCGACTTGATCAGAGCTGACGGGGACAAAGTCAGGTCTCCTGGCATATTGGACGAGCAGACTGATGTCCGCTATCAGCAGGATGACGGGGAAGTGTCGACCACGCACAAGGTGAAAGACACTGACGATGCTTGCGAGCAGGATGACGACGAGGTATTGAAAGCACACGGGGAGGGAGACGTTGACTATGCTCAACCCAATATGTCTTTTGGGTCTGGTAAAGATATTGGCCAAAGGCCGCCCAACCATGCTGCGAACCACATAGAACTTGGTGATGATGATGATGATGATCATGATCCCACCCAAACTACACTGAGAACGAGAATGTACCGACAGCCACAGAAGTGCGCAAGCTCGACTCCATAGGCGAGCACCCAAGCACCGGTCCCATGGATATCACCATGTCCAAGTATCTTTCGAACTTGCCAGGATCAGCGCCACAAGAGAAACTCCCACCCTCGGAACGATACAAACCGCGTCCCCCTCTACACCCCCTCCCAGCGCGACCCTCCCTCACAAGAGCGTCGGCAACCTATGACAGCAGACCAACTGACGACTCCGAAAGAAAATCATCCAAACGAGTATCCTTCCAACAAGCTCCGACGCCCCTCTACACCCCACCCAGCACCTCCACCTCGAGCCCCGTCTCCCCATCCGGTTCCCCACAATTGTCGTTCCGCAATGTCCTCGCAAAGCCGCCGCCCGTCAGTATCCCTCCGGGACAATACACGCCAATAGCCTCATCTTCGCCTTCAGGAAGTTACGTATCCCCATCGTCTCCAACCACAAACCGCAACCCATACAACTGCCTCGTACCCACCTGCGACAGTTCTTTCGACCACCCCAATGATCGAGACCGCCATGAGCGTCAGCATGAGATAGGCGATCCGCCGTACTCAAAATGTGCTATCTGCCATTTCTCGCGCCCGGCGGGTACTGTTGTCGATGGAGGATTGAGAGAGCACTTGATTGGGCACATGTATCGCAGGCATCCAGAAGATATGGAGTCTGCAAAGAGAACATATTGTGATAAGGTGGCCGGGTAGTTGGGCTGATTTCATAGGAATTGATTAGGGGCAGGGTGGTGCCACGAATGGACAATCGTACAATGTTTGCTGCCAAGTTGACGCAGCGCTAGGGTTTGGACTTGAAATCCACGGCGGTTGAGATTCTTGCCAGTCGCAACTACATAGTGGAGGAGCGACCCGGTTAGCATCTCAGAAGTATCATGGCTAGGCAGACCAGGGTCTTTTCTCAGGATAACAAGTCTTTGATGCAATCAGAGTAAACGGGAAAAGAGAGACAGCAGTAAAGTATGAAAAGTTTAACGGGGTCACAATTGTGGAAATACGTATTGAAGGTAGCCTGCTGAAATTATCTAACTTTTCCTACATTTGATTCTTCTCCATACAACATGGACATCGTCCCATTCAATACCAGAGACACTACAATTTTCATGCGTGAACCCTTCGGTTTAGTTCAAAAAAAGGGCCTTGAGGACGACAAAACTTCCCCGTTGCTGCTGTTCTTATCAATCCTTTTCACAATCCGTACCGTTTCAGTTGCCATGCTTCACGACGTCTCGCCTTTTGTCCTTTCACAAACCCAAGGCACTACATACCTTATACGTGGGGTCAAATAGGCAGGTGGCCCAGAGAAAGGCCTCAAAAGAATCGAGTGTAGACGCCATGGCAGAGGGAGCCCAACTGAGCATTCCACCCAGCGTTAGCCGCTCCGAAATCGTTCTCGCCCGAGAAGAAAGGGGGACCCCAGTCTTCACATTTGCCATCGAGACATCCATTCACCCACTCCCCCCGGGCACTGTCTGTCCGGGATTCTACACGCCTCGTGGGTACCATCTTGCGGTACATCGGGGTCCTTACGAGACATGCCCGGCGACACACGTCCGTCCGGCGAACGAAGGCCGGCCGTGCTCGAGCGGGCTACCATTGGGGATTTGCTGGATGCTGCTCCGCAGGCTTCGGGTAATCGTCCACGTGACGTGGTGACACTCGATGGTTATTGGACCGTGGCTGCTCTGCCGCTGCAGCGTTGCGAAGGCGGGTCTGATGGAGCTCTCTCTTCCCCAAACTGTTATTCTCGCATGGATAGATACCGTCTCATCTCTGCAATTCGTCGACTTTGTGCAATCGGCATCTAGTACCATACCACAATCGAGGGAAGAAGGGCTTCTCTGAGATTGATTCCCAGTTTCGCGTTACTGCTTTTGTCTAGATCATGATACTCGCTTTTCTAGTGACTGGGCACAATTCCACCTCCGAAACAGTATCAGAAACCCTGTGGCATTGAGTTTTGCGTCCAATCACAAACAGGCCTGTGTAATGTCACAGACAAATACCATTCATACCTTAGGTTATGTTTCATTTCCTGAGAGCTGAGAGGAGTCTCAACTTCTGTATCCCTTGGCTACTGTTCCCATTGCATGATGACGCAGATTGTTCCAAGGAGCAAGTCGGTCTTGTGGAAAGCAAAGAAAGCTGACGAGTCACAGCCTTGAAGGAGAGAGCAAGGAATACTTTCATCTTCAAGTCATGATCCGACGGCACTTCCAAGTTATCTCAGTCTGGTGTGGTACCTTCCTCTTGGCACTCAGCTGACTGCTGATTCAATCCGTCCGAGTGTCTCGGCTTCCTTGGTTCTGACAGCCCACAACGTGGATAGCTCGGACGATCCCGAATGGTCTTGTGAGACAAACTGCACTCCTCGGAAAGATTCGACTTGCTGACCCTATCTCACCAAGGCTTTAAGAAAAAAGTGGCGGCGCTCTACCAATCCAATCCCATTCCCTCTCGATGCCAAAACCTCCCAGCCTCCTCAATGCCCTTTCCCATGCAGACCTTCCACAGCTTCTCCGCCGCCTCTTCTGGCTCCACTGCCTCCTTCATCTGATGCGTCTTCCCGCTGGTGTCCAACCCGGTCTTGACGTATCCCGGGTGCATCAGCACGACCACCACGCCCTTCTCCTTCAAGTCGATCGCCATGCTCTTCCCGACACTGTTGAGGGCCGCTTTGGAGGCACGGTAGGCGTATGAGCCGCCGGAGCTGTCATCGGCAATGCTGCCGACGCGGGAGGACACGAGACCGATACGGGGATGCGGAGAGAGAAGGAGGGAGGGGAGTAGTGCTTGGGTAAGGAGGAGGGGGCTGAACGTGTTGGTAGAGAAGGTGCGGAGAAGAACGCTGTGCGTGGTGGGTTCCAGAGTATCTTGCTCGTGAGGAGCCATGATGCCTGGAAGACGAACGGCATCAGCGATGAAACCTGGGACTGGGATTCTTTTGGAGATACTGAGGTGCAACACACCGGCAATGTTCAAAACGAGACCCGCTTGCCTTCCCTTGAACCCCGTGGCGAACGCTTGGATTGAGGCTTCGCTGCTCGAATCGCATTCGTGGGTTTGACATCCTAGGCTCTTCATGTTTTCTCCTATAGTCATGTCCAGGGCGTGGACTCGGTAACCCTGGGTTTGCTTTAGATCCAGTCTAAGAGTGGCTCGACGAGTGAATATACCTCTCTGACAAGGATCTCTGCGAAGGCATGGCCGATGCCCGAGTTGCTCCCTGTCACCACCGCTGCAGGCATTTTCTTCGAACAGGGTTCAAGACTGTGGAGCCTGCTCCTACCGTTGTCTTTTTTTAGCCATGTTAAAGATCGAAGGCTGCGGTTTCGTCATCGCCGGAAGTGACGGAAATGCGGCAGGTCATTCGCTTCAAAACAGGTAGATGTAGAGGGCAGGGGGAGAACGGTCAATCGTGTATCGGGAATGATTTGATTAGCAAAACAGGGGGTCATATAATCGTGGGCAGCCGAGAGCGACAGGGTTCGAAGACGTTGTTGATGGGTAAAAGACTTTCATTCATTTCGGCTTTCGATCTATCTCTTCCGCAAGCTATCTGCAAGATGGATTTGCAGCTTCCCGAAGTAAAATACGCTACCAAGCTCAATCCTCATGCAGGACCTTTGCAAATGACTCGGCTGCTCTCTCCGGTTTGCCGTCCTCAAGCTTCTTCGATCCCAGCTTCTCCTCACTGAAGGCTTTGGCATATGGGTTCAATCGCAACAACACTTGCTTGTTCTTCAGAGGGTTCTTCTTCTGTACGCCGACACGCTTTGTCTTGGCCTCTCCCTTAGCTGGGCGCACAACGGCCTGTACTTCCGACGAGTTGATCAGGCGGCTGATATCGGCGTTGTGGACGACGTTTGAGGGAAGCAAAAAGTCCTTCTTCAGCGCGGATGGGGTAGTCGTAGAACCATAGATTTCATCCAAGGCCGCAAAAGCAGAAGAGGTCCAGACGATGAAGCGTCCGAGGTGACCACCGGGGGCAAGTTGCAGAAGGTTGAGGGCGAAGACCGATGACGTCTCGACACCTGGGATGTTGCGGAAAGCACGGACGAGCTCCTTGCCATCCTCATCCGGGTGGTAGACAATCAGCGGACCACGACGCTGGCGGTGACGACGACCCCGAAGCTTTCCTTTCCCGGCACGGAGTTTGCGAGATGCACGGACTTTGCTGACGTCTGGTCCTGCACCGACAGCTGTCAGGAGTTTAAGCGCTGCTGATGTCTTGGCAATAGCAGCTCCTTCGAAAGCTTTCGAGGCGATAACCAGGGGCACTTCTGGTACGGTAGAGATTTGGTGACCGCGTGCAAGGAGGAGAGAGGGGACGGAGGACGCAGCCAAAGCAGAGGTGGTGGCGAAGCGCCTGTTGGTCTGTCAGCTCTACCTCTCTCTGGATCTCGTCTCCACGGCGTACTTTTGTCCCAGGTTGATCTTTTGATGCCACTTTCTCCAGACCTTGGTTGGCGCGAACATACGACCCGAGCGGCACATGTTTCCAAACGCAGCTTGACCGGCACGGTGTGTACCTCCTCCTGAAACACGGGGAATACGGGCAACAGCGCGACCTGAGAAAAAGCCAATGTCAGTCCTCCTTATGTGCTCAGACTCAAGCTGTAGACTTATCGCTCACCAGTTCCCCACGATTCAGCCGAAGTCTGATGTCCAGCCTTCTCGCTCACTGCATATGGCTGTCTCTTGTTCTTAGCCATGCCAGCGTGTACTGTCCTGAGCTGTCGTCAGTTTCTGCATTCGGTGTGCCCTTCGTGAAGTCGAAGGCCTTACTGAACGATGTCTGGTCGAATTGGTGCTTTGAACACGGCGGGCAGCGGGTGAGTAGATCCACTGGGGGTGCCATCATGCGAGGCAATGGTGACTGTCGGACGTGTCGCCATCGTTGCTGCGGTGGTTTGTCTCGACTTCGTTGATTGTGTATCGGGCTTTGCTCAGTTTTGGTTGTGGGCGGGAAAAAAGTGCGCTAGCTGTAAGGACTTAGCTCGGATCTAGGCGAGACGTCGCCAAGCCCGCCTCGCTGTCTACAAGTACTTTACGGTCTACCCTCTAGTCTCTCTACCTTCAAATGAAGTAATGAGCAGTACACAACATTTGTTGATTCAGCCCAAAACACATGCGTTGGAACGACGCTGGAAATGCCAGTGAAATGGCCCCTACCACTCAGCTCCGACTTTGACGATGCCGAGGCTTATGTGAAATCATTGCTTTCATTTGTCACATCTTCGGAGCTCTTCCAAAATCTCTGTGGTGGTGTGCATATACTAGACTTCTTGACGAAAGAGCCGGATCTCTACAGTACTGTTCTCCCAGAAGAATGGAGAGTTTGGTTTCAGTTGCACGATATCCCCGCCATCCTCGACCTCTTGATGAGGGAAGATGATGGTCTCCTCGAATCTCTTAAAAGCTCAATAGATACATTGTCTGCAGAGAAGCAAGGCACAAAATCTACATGGCGGAATGGTCCATGTCCTCCCACAAGTCTGCTGGAGTATATCCAAGCGATTCGTAGGCATGCACTGAATCGAGATTTCAGACCCCTTGATGCATCTGCTGCACCATCGTCTACAGGGACTGGTCCCCTCCCTAGACATGTGGCAGTGGGGATGAAACCCAAAAAGATTCATGAGGTTGAAAAGTTTGTCAAGTATATCAATGGCCTGACCGCTGATATGGACACCACTGACGGTCATAAAATTACACATATTGTTGACTTTGGTTCAGGTCAGAACTATCTCGGTCGAGCTCTAGCGAGTCCTCCGTACAATAAACAGGTGATAGCCCTGGAAAGTAAACAACATAACATCAACGAGGCTAAAACTATGGACATAACGGCTAGATTGACCGAGAAGGAAAAGATAATGTGCAACAAAAAGCGGTATAGAAAGGGCTCGCAGAGCACAAATCATGATCCAGACACTTCTCAGCCAGGAAACGTACAATCTAGTAGCAGCTCGCAAGCACCAGTAAATGGCGATATTCACGGCTCCGTCAGTCAAGCAAACCCAGACGAAAGCAAAGGCAAAATCCAGTACCTCGAGTCATTCATTCAGAATGGAGACCTAGCAACGGTCGTACACGAGATCAAATGTGCTCCCAATACTCCGGATGGCATGATGAAACCAGATCCACAGTTGATGGTCATCTCTCTCCATTCCTGCGGCAATCTCCTGCATCACGGACTACGATCTCTGATCCTTAATCCATCCGTCAAAGCTGTTGCCATGGTAGGCTGCTGCTACAATCTGGTAACGGAGCGGCTTGGCCCCCCAACATACAAATTGCCGTCTTTGCGTTCTTCCAACCTGCGTCTCGACGCCACCTCATCGACATGCGATCCACATGGCTTCCCAATGTCGGAAAGGCTTGCTATGTACCAGCACCAGCTTGGCCAAGGTATACGCCTGAACATCACAGCGCGGATGATGGCCGTTCAAGCACCCGAGAATTGGACTGCCACAGAATGCGAGTCCTTCTTCACAAGACACTTTTATCGAGCCTTGCTCCAAAGAATGTTACTGGACCATGGTATTGTCGAAAAGCCAACCCAGGAGGGCGACGGGGATGGTGGGGGTCCTCGCGGCTGGACTGGAGCTGGCCCAGCTCTCACGGTTGGCTCCCTGCGCAAAGTTTGCTATTCTTCCTTCACCGCCTATGTGCGTGGAGCAATCACCAAATTAGCGGACGATCAGGAGCGCGGTATTGCAATTCAAAGACGTATGGAGGGTTTGATCGATGAGGACATATCGCGCTATGAAGACGACTTCAAAGAGAAGAAGAAAGAATTGAGTGTTGTTTGGAGCTTGATGGCCTTCAGCGCAAGCGTTGTGGAGTCGAGTATTGTGGTGGATAGGTGGCTGTATCTCAAGGAGCAGGCAGAAGTTAGAGAATGCTGGGTTGAGACCGTGTTTGACTATAAGCAAAGTCCACGAAATCTGGTGGTGGTGGGGATCAAGAAATGACCACAGTCTATATGGAAACTCAGAGATTGTAGCCTTCCCATCAAGCAGGTCACAGTCATGCCTGATTCCTTGCTGCCTTATCTTTATTACTCTTCTTTCGTGTCTCATGCCGTAGATTTCTCACATCTTCTCCCCTTGTATCGTAGCCAGGACCTTCCTCTTCTGCTTCATATTCCGAAATTCCAGAAACCAGATGCCCTGCCAGGTCCCTGTGGCGAGTTTTCCATTCGATATTGGTACGCTCACGCTCGCGCCTATCAGAGACGACTTGATATGTGCCTGTAACGTCGCCCAATCAGCCATCTCCGCTCATGCAGTGGACTCGAGGCTGATATACTGGCATATCATCGCTCCCCTCTGCATCGTGCCTGTAGATTCCTTTTCCGGCTGCCCATACAATCCGTCAGCCATGACCCAGAAATGACTCTGATGCCCCCACGTAAAGCGCTCCTCCTTCCACGCTACTCGTTTTTCCAGCGCACCTTTATCTTCTTTCACCATCCCGTCCAAAGCATCACTCATGTCCGCCCTCACATCATCATCCCAATTCTCATTCATTGACAGCGCGCAGCTCGTGTGTTGTAGAAACAGATGCAGTAGCCCGCATTTAATACCCGATATCTGGGGTAGCGAAGATACGATATGGTCGGTGATAAGGTGCGAGCCACGACCGAGGGAGGGGAGCGTTAGGTGGTGCTGGGTGTACGTCGTCGCCATGGCGGGGCAAGTCTTTGGAATACAGGACCGGTAGAGTAGGGCGAGAACTATGACGGAATAGAGGAGCTGGAGGAAGAAGCTATTTGGCAAAAAAGGAAAGCGCATAAAGATCTTTAGTCGAGAATGCTCTGTGGCAATGACGTTAGATAACCATTTTACGGCGGGCTGAAATCATTAAAGCGCAATTTGTCTCGCCAGATGCACATCGAGTGGGGGAGAGCAGTTTTTGAGGGGGGTTTTGATTGTGATATGGTCTAACACATTGCTATTGGAGGAGTCTGGCCAAGCCTGGCCTTGAGCAACGTGAGCCAGATGATATCACATAGTCCTGACTAGCCACATCGCTTGCTCATCGATAGAGGAAACTCCAAGCCTTCACGATCAGTTCACCAGCAGAATGTGTAGCATCGCCATCCATCAAGAGTCTCCACCAAGCAACGTACACGATCCATGTTAGACGCAAGCTGTAGAGTCTGGATTTCCAGACAAAAGGTCGGAGCAACCAAGAACAACTGATATCTGTCAGCCAGGTGGAATTACATTGGGCGCCATCCACGAGTCTTCCGTACCTTAATCCTTCGAGTGGCGAACCCAGTACGGATAACCAGTGGTAGCGTAAGCCCACTGGCCAGGATTCAGGCTATTCATGATCGTGTTGACAGTACGCACGGTCCAGGTACCATCTAACTCTCGGCAATAGTACTCATTGTCGGGAGAAGCGTTCTGAGGGACAAGTTGGACCGGATTGAAGCCTCCATGATTCTGAGCGCGGGAAATGTTGCGGTCATTGACCTGCTTCGAGGTGAGTCCCTGATAGTGATTGAAATTGGCGGGCTCGGCGGCTGGCTGGGATGAGTAGAACTGAATCTCGGTAGCCTGTGATCCGCCTGGGTAGTACATCGGAGCCGGTGAAGTCTATGAGAATGATGTTAGCTTACTCAAAAATCCTGACTCGACGGGAACAGATGCGAAGCAGAACATGACGGAATACATGAAGGAATAGGTGTAGAGATTGGGGGTCCATGCATAGGTTGCGGGCAGTTGGCTGATGGTAGGACCTTACACTGCCTGCGGAAGATGGATTGTAGACAGCCTGGTGGCTCCAATTGGATGAAGACGAGACTGAAGGAGTGGGAGCCGGTGGATGTGTCCAAGGGTTTCGCGCCGCTGGCGGCTGACAAGGTCCGGGATCACTAGAGGAGACTGGTTGATAGACGTAATGATGACTCGTGTGGGAAGAAGGGGCAGTAACAGGACCGTTTGTCCAGGGATTCCATGCATTTGTCTGCTGGGGGTACGAATTCGAAGTAGGAGGGTTCGTCCAGGGATCCGTGGCCGCTGGGTGTTGAGGTGTCATTCCTTCTTCAGGATGATAGCTAAATTGCTGGCTCGCGTAGAACACCATTGCGAAATGGCCTCTGAAGTTTATGTGAAGATAAGGCTTATCGATTTACGGATCTTGTAGAAAAAGCCAAGATGTGGTGGTTGATGGTGTGGGATGTTGTGGAGGGGAGTGAAAGTGCAAGAAAAAGGAGGTGCAGAAAAGCGGTATTGACTCACGATGGGCTGAAGATTTAGCTGATCCGACACAAGAACATAGTTCTTCTTCACTTTCTCCTCCTTTTTCTCTTCCTTCTTCTTCTCAGGCGGAGGATCTTCAAGGAATACCTCTGCAACTCGAAAGCAACACATGACTTCGATCTTGACGCTACTTTGAGCTTTGGTGATGTTAGAGGTTTTGATCAAGTCAAAGTCGGGCGATTTTGGAGGTTAGGTATTAGATTGAGAGAGAGCGGAGGAGCTGGTCAAATTAAACTGTAAGTGTTTCATCATCGTCCTGAGTAAACGGATGAGCTACGCGGGGGAGGGGGACCCTTGGCCACCACCCAATGAGACTGCTTGAATGTACGGTTTGCCGCACGAAAGATAGAATTGTGGACTTTCACTTTCCTGACCTCGTACTTCTGCAAGAACCATGAGATCCCGATTTCAGGCATGGGAGCAAAAGTAGGATTCTCAACTGTTTTCACCGAACAAATGCTACAAGCACTGATAGTCAAGCTGAAAGACCAGACAAATTGTGCCAACCACACCTTTTTGAGCCTCGTCTCGTCACTTGTATGTGGATATGCATTTGTTAGTGTCATTAATGGTTACTTCGCAGCAAACTTATTGTAGTGATCACTTTCTGGAGCACTAGTTGGCTTCACTTTTATTAGCGGTGATCCCCAGCAACTCAGGCTTGACCATTGAACTCAGGATATTTGTAACCTAGATGTTCTGAGGCCGTCGTTATTTTTACTGACTCTAATCAAAGAGCCAGGAACTGTTCTAATGCTCATGTTAGATCTGTCTACACGAGATACTATATTGACTGCGGCAGCAAGCTCAGTGTAGCTTCTGCTACCCGACTCCGCGAGTGGTAGATGACCGATGTATGATTGTGGATGGTGAGGTATCTCGATACATCCTACAGAAGAGTCCTGGCAGGGGAGCAGGCTCGGTGCCAGAGAAAGTAGTAGTCACTGCGTTGCAAGTCATATCTTATGAATGGCTTCAATGTAGACAGGATGATAATGAAGACTGCCATCTATTCTGATGATGGTTGCCTGCAAATGCCAAGGCCGACAAGCGCGCGATAATTGCGTCTATTATCTGATTCTTGACAGACCTACGTCTTGACGTAAGGAGCCCGCTGTATGGAGACGAAAGAAAAATCTCATGCAAACATGGAATCTGCCGGTTTGCGGGGGCGCAATGCAAGTATACTCAAGCTCAATAATCAACCTATCGAGGACTTTGGTAGCGATGCAAGTGAGGACGGCGATGAACCTCCTAGGTACACGATCGATCTGTCTCTTCCACCCCGAAAGCGTTATCAGCACATAGCAGCGGACTTCAAACCACAAATAGCAACGTTGCCCATTCTCTTCGACGAAATCGTTAAGGATCTACGCGCGAATATCTCCGTCGAAAGAGTAAGATGGCTAGCGCGTCTCCTACTTCGGCGAGTGTACAATAAAGAAGAGAATGAGGAGCTTCGGGGTATACAGGAGACTACTGGCGTAGAGATGTATCTCTTAGTAGCCTTTAACGTCTTACTTGACCTGTTCATGGGTTGCACCAGTGGAGCCGTGAGAGTGAAAGACGATGACAAAAACACAAAGATGCTACATTTCCGTACGCTAGATTGGGGTATGGATGCTTTGAGAAAGGTCATTGTCCATCTAGACTTCGTCGAAAAGCCAGGCGGAGAGGTCATTGTACGTATTTCGGAGCCCACTCTTCCTCTTTTGGACAATTCCTTGAGTCTTGAGACATTCTCGGGAATTGTTTACTTTCGAAACATCTTCCAACGCTCGAATTGTCCCCTCAAATAGGCAAAACTGACTGCGAAATTGTAATTCAGGCCTCGAGCATCACGTACATTGGCTACGTCGGGGTGCTGACTGGCGTCAGAAAGGGTTTGAGCGTGTCTCTCAACTTTAGGCCAAGCCATGACTGCAGCGGCAGATTCTCCAATTTCCGATTCTATTCCCATCACCTTCTCGTTCTTCTTGGCTTTCAGCCCTCAATATCTTCGTTACTGCGGGGCTATCTTTTACCTACTTTGCCATCCGACACCTCTTCAATTGATATTTTAGCGCTGGAGTCCATCAAACGCGATCTTCCAAGTGTCCCGACTACTGCAGCGTATTTGATCTTTAGCGACGGCGAAAATACTCTCACCATAGAAAAAGACCATCATACTGCCGTCATCAGGTCAGCAACCGACTTCATCGTTGCTACCAATCACGATGCGGCTGAAGAGAACACGAATCAATCCTTGAAAGCCACTCACAAAGATTCTTTCAAGACTCTCCTGGACGGTATAGTCGTAGAGAGTATCGACCGTAAGAAGACGGCGGTGAACTTGTGGGAGACAGCTTTGAAAAGAGCCAAACGGAACTCATCGAAGAAAGTCAGCACGCACGAACAGGGCGTTACCAAAGACAGCATCATTCGGTGGTTGAGTTCTTCTCCAATCCTGAATGAAGAAACACATTTCGCAACTGTGATGGATCCGAAAGATGGAAAAGTGGTCTGGACTAAGCGATATATCGAACCCTTCGAATAGAATGACTTTCACGGGACTTCTTTGTCTAATACTTATAACGAACGCAGAACAGGCGATAAAAATAATGTTCAGAGAGCATATTGCGGAAACCGCCGGCTCCAAGAATAGCATACCCTGAAAACCGAGGGCCCATCCATGGCTGGAGAAGATTACCTTAGATTACACCGAACGGTCATTCATTAATGGCGATGTCGAATGCTGGCTAGATGTCCCAATAACACCGCTTGCAATTGATATGGATCTGCAGGTCAGTGGAGAGTTCATTTGAAACTAGCTCGCAGTCAGAAGAAGTCGACTGCCTGGCAGATTTGGCTCTACGAAGTGGCGGCAAGACTGACGTGGAGAAGAGGGCGCACTCTGGGGAAACACCTAGCATCGATTGTTCTGCAACGTAGGAGGCGCAGCTTTCAACATAGATCATTGGCTGTAATTAGTTAGATAGCCGCGAATGACTGCAAGATTCGCGAGATGAGAATTTCCACAGACCTTGGCCTTTTCTCGAAGCTACTCCGGCGACACTCCGTTCTGCGGACTACCCTCTTCCTCCAGACTGCCTCCTAGTTGGCCCTTTTGTCCCTTCTCACAGCCGCAGTCTGACATAAGATGATTATCGCGAAAGCTGAGGCGCAGTCGGTTTCGCCACGCTTTCAGCCACCACAGCATTTCTCAACCATCCTTTTCGTCCTTTTCGTCCTTCCCAACGTCTTTCGCATCCCACAACGCACATTTTTGTAAGTTTGGCGATAGGCAGGAGCCCGGGGAATTAGCCAGAACGTTGAGAGGCCACTAGAAAAGCTAGGTCATTTGGGCCCGCTGCCTGGCCCGTGAACGGTCACTACTACTGCCAACGGATAGGTGCTCAAGCTTCAGCTGCTGTGGCCATGATGCAGCCTTAGATTCGTCCTCTCCTTTATGACAGTTAATTCTCCGAGGTCGCATGATTCATTGCATTAGCTGGAGCCTCACTCTCTTTTGACTTTTCCTCCCCTGACTGATCTAATTGGAGCCTTGATCTTAAGTTTGCCTCTAAGACGTTTGAATCCTTCGGTGTTTGCCCCTCATCCAAGTGCTTTCTTCTCACTTCTGCCTTGCAAAAAGGAACCGACCGCTTCTACTACTCACACATCTCCTTGCTTGACAGTCCTTATATACTCTTCTTAAACGCGGAACCCTGCGTTTGTCCAAGATCTTTGAGCATACTAGACATAGCTGTTTAGTGAGACTACGCTCATTGCACACGATTTGCGCCAGCTTCCTCGCTCACAGAGCGCTCGTTGGCCTCAGATGGCTATTAACGATGCTCTTCGTGCTCTAAAGCATACCGAATTGCCTACTGACAACTCAACTACTAGCGTCACACAGCTCCCAGCCAACATCCTGGAGGCCTTCATTCCCGGTTACTCTATCATCTCAAAATTCTTGCTAGATTCTTTGGGCTTCGACATCACCTTACTCGTCTCTGTGTGCTTCCTCATATTCGGATTGGCTACATCCCTCAAATTTGCTTGGAAACACACTTCCGAACAGTTCAATGAGTACTTCATGAGCTACATCAGGATCGATTCCGACGACGACATTTACGACCACGTTATGGAATGGATTAGGGTTCAGAATGTCTCAAAAAACTCCCGCAAGCTGATGGCCAAGACCGGACGGGAAAATGCTTGGGATCTGGTCGACGGCGACATGGGAGTGCCTGAGCTCGACCCCAGCAAACTCGTGAACTTCAGCAATTGGGATGCCAAAGTTCCCCCAAGGTTTCAGCCCTCATTTGGAATTCACCGTTTCTTCCACAACGGAAGGTTGTTCCAGCTGACGCGTGAGAACAAACACGTGATGCGCGATGGTTGGGGAGGGAGTTCGCTGCGAGACGAAGAGAACATCACGTTGACTTGTGTCGGGCGCTCGACGAAGCCAATCAAAGATCTCATCAAAGTAGCCCGGGACCATTACTTGGACAAGGAAAAGTCCTGTACTGTTGTCCGTAGGCCGTGTCCCAAGGAACAGAGGGGCAGAGGTCGTACACTATGGATGAAGGTTGCTACTCGACCTTCCAGACCGATTGAGACCGTGGTATTGGATCATGAGCAGAAGAACCGGGTGCTTGTCGACATCAATGAATATTTACATCCATCTACGCCTCGATGGTATGCTAACCGAGGCATTCCATACAGGCGAGGCTACTTATTCCACGGTCCCCCAGGGACTGGTAAGTCCAGCCTTGCCTGGGCCATTGCAGGGGTCTTTGGCCTAGACATCTACTGCATCTCCCTCGTGGATCCCACACTGACGGAAGAGGACCTTGGCATGATGTTTACTAGCTTACCACGAAGATGTGTCGTTCTCCTGGAAGACATTGACAGCGCCGGTCTAAGCAAGCGTCAAGAGGAGGAGAAAGTCGAGAAGCTCAAGCCAGAAGACGAAGCCGCCGCCAAGATTGGCGCCGAAATTACCAGAGCCATCAAATCTGTACAGAAAGATGGAAAGAACAACAAGGAGAATCAAGGCATCTCTCTCTCGGGACTGCTGAACGCCATCGATGGAGTCGCCTCTCACGAAGGCAGAGTTCTCCTCATGACGACAAACTTTCCGGACAAGCTCGACGAAGCCCTCATTCGCCCTGGTCGAGTGGACATGAAGGTCAAGTTCACGAATGCTACTCGATCCCAAATCTGCGAGCTCTTCACTCGCATGTATACTCCCGATACGCCTGCCAGCCTGGCCCCGGAGCAGATCAGGCTCGGTCCTGTACCTAGGGCAAACGGAACTCTTCACCAAGCTACCCTTAATGGTAGTCTTCTGCAGCCAAAATCCGCAAAGATCGAAGACGTCATGACGCCTCCAGAAAGCCCTAAACAAGCCAATACACCCACAACGACATTCTCGCCCTCAAGTATTGAAGAGATTGCAGTTCAGTTCGCGGACCGCCTGCCAGAAGGCAAATTCACGCCTGCTGAGGTCCAAGGCTTCCTTTTGACCAGAAAGAAGGAACCTATGAACGCCCTGGAGGAGGTCGAGGCTTGGAGGGATGGAGTGCTGGAGGCTAGGGAAAGGAAGAGCATGAGCAAGAAGGAGGTTGTGCCCTAAGCGTAGTATTTGAACGAGAGCGGAGACATGGAATGGTTTACACAGTTATGATCAAAAGTGAAAGTATTTAGACATTCTCGCGCGTTGACTCTCTCTGCGTGCGTTACGGCTGCTCTTCCCGGAGAAGATCTGCGCTCTTCTTTTCTGATGGCTCATGGACATGACTAGCGGTCCACTTGATTCCGGTCCAGGACCTTTACCGGTCTTGAAAACAAAGGATTTGAAAGACAACACCCTTGGTGGTTGCATACCAAGTGATGAGGTACATTGGATGGGAGACATGGAAATGCAGATATTCATCATCGAGTTTGGCACACTACTGACTGTTCAATGTAGGGAAACAACTGCCACAGAGCCCCTTGGAAGACCTCGAGGCATCTTGTTGGTCTGGCAGTATCAGGTCCAGGGATAAATTACGCAATAATCAATTGCAAGCCAAAATATTCGATTCTCGGCAAGGTCAGGGCAACATATCGCTTGAGATTCAAGGGATTTCCGGTTGGATGCAAGTCGAAATAGTATCTGATCGAGGGTTGTCGCCTCTTGAACAAAAAAGCATTAGGGTCGAGAGATAGATGTTTGGGACAGTGGGTGCAAGACGTGAAAACAAGTGCTTGTAGCAATTGATATCCTGATGAAATCACGCTGGTATGACCTATTCTGGTACTGGTAATGCATGCTCGACTGCCTAGCAATAAACCCCTCTCTGCCTTTACCTCAAGACGCCAGAAGCTGTCCGGTCGCTGCTCCAGAGCAAATCAAAAGCTCGGGTGTTTGCTCTCTAGTATCTACTTGGCCATGTGTTTCATTCTTCATTCTTCATCCTCCTTTTCTCCCTCTGCCTTTTCTTCCTCCCCTTTTCGTTCCTCCAGATTTCCTTCTTCCTCTTTCTCTTCCTCCGACAAGTCTGCACGCAGCTGTTGCCACACCTCCGACCATGCCCTGCCGATCCTAGCACCCTGGCCAATCATCCCCTCGCAAAGAGAGACCACTTGTCTCACGACCATGCGAGCACCATTTGCGACGTTGCCAAATACCTGCGCTGATGCCGCAAATTCCATCCTCAATGATTCATCGCGCGCCTCAAAAAAGCGGTCGATGGCAAGTCCCAAACCTGAAGTATTCCCCTCGAGTCTTCGTTGATGCCGAGACACGACGCGAAGTTGCTTGCCCAAGGTTACTTGCCTGGTTCTTGACTGGCTAGCTTCTAGGAGAGAGTGACTGAGCGCATGACGGAGATCGCGGATTGTGGGATCTTGTGGGGAAACTGAGGCGGAGGATTCGTCGATCTGACGCTCGCAGTCTCCGATTATGGTTAGGATGGTAGCATGCGTGGCTATTTCGGCGTCGAGAATGGCCTTGAGGTCGTCTGGTTGGGGTAGAGGAACAGGGCCCGGATCAGTGGATAGGTCCCGGAGGGTTGGACGGAAGGAGGATGTTTCGGATGCTCCTAGGACGGACATTGCGGTTTCTGATCACCGTGAAGCAAAGACGCCGTGAGATTTTCCAAAATTATGCTGAGGAGCGAAAGGTGAGCGAGAGAGGACAGACGGTGGGCATTTTGCCAGGTGCCTTGGCCGCTCTTGCCTTTGTGGATGACAGCTTGAGAGCTGTTCGTGGGTGTCGGGCGTGAAACCTCAAGTTTCTGAAGCTACGAGGGCTCCGTGGCTCTTCTCCATGTGCCCTTCAAGCATTGAGCTTCCGGTAACTGCTTGTTTGCCCTTTTTGCCTCGACTTCAGCAAACTCGACAGCCATTGGAGCAAGCGTCTTTGCATTTTACTTCTGGTCTAAATGGCTTGAGGTCAATTGTTAGGGAAAGTGCAACAGGTTTCTTTCAGGAAGTAATGATGGACAAAGACCAGGTAATTAAGTAGTCGCTGAAATGTCTGCCATAAGAAAAAGAGCCTGCCTGGAGAGCATGGGGGACGCCCGGAGTCGATTCCTTGTTGCCTCCAAGGAGCAAAGGAGCAGGGACCATATCTAGAATCATGCAATCAAAGATCCGTAGACCGATCCTGTTAATGAGTCGTTTCAAAAAGGTGTACCTGAGGCGGACCAGAGGTCGCCAAAGTCCGGAAAAATGCTTGGCGCCTAAATGTTCGGCTGATCCCTGCTTCGCGTCCTGATTGGCTCTGTTCACATGTCTATATTCAGAACCTCAACGATTTCTCCATTGACTTGTTACTTTATCTGCACGTTCTCTCCTCTCTTACATCACTTAGGCCGTTGTTCTGTCTGCATCTGTTATCCTCATTTTCTGGTAGGCTTAATCTTTGTCTCTCGGACCACTAGCTTTCAACAATTCAATGGCTGTCGGCTATCCTTGTACAAGAACCTGTACTCTAAAAATACTCACTCGATCCTTGGCCTTCAATTGGGTCTGTGAACAATTTGTGTCCAATGACTGGCTGCCGTGAAGTGGGGGGTAATCCCCGTTTGGCGCCGTTGACGTCTGATTCCGTCGCCACGCTTGGTTCGCGGGGAAAGGGCACAGAATTGCCACGATGCTCTGGGTAGAATGCAGAGTGACTTCGTAGCCGAAGTGCTTCAGATACAATCATGGGACAAGCCTTTACTTGGACGCCAGCTTCTTCCTCATGCTTTGAAACAACAGAGGAATATCACACGCGCCTCTCGATCCCTTGTACTTGAGCACTGTATGGCAGAGGTTCTGGCGCTTACAGAACCCATCTGTAGAATTGGAGGTCGCCGCTCCAATGGCCGACCTTAACACATACCAAATGAATACTCACCCCTCCGTGGCAACGGGGGCTTCTTGTCTCAAGGAGTCAATCGAAACATGATCAATGTTCTTACTTAAGGTACTTCTTCTTCTTCTCCAATCTTCTGGATGCATCCCCTTCTGACTTCCTACACTATCTCCATTCTTCTGAGGCTGGCCTTTCCGTTCATTCTATTCTCTTCGCTCATCCTGGTCGTGCCTGTGGCAGACTCACAGTCTTTCGTCATCCAAGACAATCTTTGTTACTAGAGAACAGTTGTAGTATCGTTCAATTACCCTAGGTAAGCTCATTTGTTCGATTCTAGAATATCTGAAGTCATTGTCTCGGATGCAACAATAATGATTGTCCATTTCGCTGTCATTGACACGACAATAGCATTGTCCCACCGTCTTTATTGTCGAATTAAGCAGAATCACATTTGTTCTTTACCCAGGCGTTCACCATTGTTTTTGGCCACCATTCGTGCCCTTAAATATCCATCAATCCTCCCCTCTCTCTCCCTTCATTCCTCAGCTCACACCACTTACACAGAACGCTTCCAAACCTTAACTCCTATTTCTAGTGCACACGACCACAGTCACGAGTCAATCCGCTCAAAGCTAACTCAAAACACTTCGTCCGGAACGAAGCACCAACACGTCCCCAACCACAAGATGTCTTCAATCATGACCATTCTCTCCTTCTCGGCCCTCGCCCTTTTCGCCTCCACAGCCCAGGGTCACATGGTCATGGCCACGCCTCCGCCATACGGCAGTCCCGACAATAGTCCCCTCAATGCCGATGGTTCAAACTTCCCGTGCAAAGCCACGAGCAACTCTGGTGGAACAGTCACCAGTATGGCTATCGGTGCCTCACAGAAGCTCTCTTTCTTGGGTGAGTCAGTCCATGGTGGTGGTTCGTGTCAAGTTTCTCTTACCACGGACACGCCTGCAACGAAGAGCTCTAAGTGGATGGTTATCCATTCAATCGAAGGAGGTTGTCCGGCTAGAAATCAGGCGGGTAATATTGGAGCAGATAGTTCCGCCTCCGCTCCTGACCCGGACACATACGATTTTTCTATTCCTGCAGGTATTACTCCTGGCGCCTACACCCTTGCATGGACTTGGTTCAACAAGGTGGGTAATCGTGAGATGTACATGAATTGTGCCTCCATCAAGGTCACTGGGGCTTCAAGCAAGAGAGAGACTTCTCTCAACGAGACGGAGGAGTACGCAATTCCCGAGCTTGCCGGACGTGCAACGGCTTCATTCCCTGACATGTTCGTCGCAAACATCCCGGTCACGGACTGCACGACGGCCGAAGCAACAGATGTGAAATTTCCATCTCCTGGTTCGTCGGTCGAAATGGCCAGCGCCAATAAGGCCGACGTCTTGACTCCTCCGACTGGGCCCAAGTGTGGAGCATCTGGCAGCTCGTCAAGCGCTTCCTCAGACACTCAAGCTTCCAATGCGGGTAGCTCTGGAGCTTCAGGCGCCGCTGCACCTGCATCATCTCCAGCAGCCTCTGCACCTGCCGCAGCACCCTCGATGTCTGCTGCTGCTCCCGCTGTCGCTGCCTCTCCCTCCGTGGCTGCTGCTGCTCCCTCTGTTGCCGCCTCTCCCTCCGTGGCTGCCGTTGCTCCCTCCGCCGCCGCACCCGCTTCCCCATCTTCCGCCGCCGGTTCAGCTCCTGCAGCTGTTGGCAGCTCATCTGGCTCGAGCGCTGCACCAGCTTCTGCCTCGGGCACGGCATCGACTGGCTCCTCTACCGGCTCTTGCGCCACTCCTGGCCAGTCAGTCTGCTCGCCCGACGGATTACAGATCGGGACGTGCACGACACAATCTACAGTAACCTGGATACCTGTGGCGGCTGGTACAAAGTGCGTTGGCGGGTACATGGTCGCCGCAAAGGGCAAGCGTAGCGCCAAATTTTTGAGCGGCTACTTCTTCTGAAGACAGCTCATAAGATTGCCAAAGGCATTTTCCTCCACAAGTGTGGAATGTTTGATTGCTCATAAGATTGCCAAAGGCATTTTCCTCCACAGTGTGGAATGTTTGATTGCATGCACTTTTTGTACAAACACTCTGGATGGTTGCTTTTGCCTTTTTTCCAGTGTGAGAATTTTGATTGCATGCAGTTCTTAGTACATACAGTCTGAATGGTGGGGAATAGGATATTTGGGTAGCATTTCGCTCACTACATAGAAGCAAATTAGAAGAAAACTGGCAATGTACATCCTTCCACCTTGTCCATACTGAGTCCCATGACAACAGGCAATTAACAACGTGAAGGGCGAAACATTATCATAAAGTTTGGCCCATTGCAGGCCACCGGGACGCAATAATAGGCCGCAATATGGTATCGAGTCTCGATCGAGAGGCCACTTGGGGTCTGGAGTAACTCGATTTGCGCCAAGTAACATAGCGTAAAAGCAGGTATGGTGTTAATGAAGGAGCTTGTGATTCTGTTGGGGATATATACAATGTGATTGAAGTCGCAAAAAGGCGAGCGTCTTTTTTTTTATGTTTGGCCTGTACTCCTAGTGCTTCCTTGTGCTCCGACTGATCTCCAAAACTATTTTCAAAAATACTCCATCTCTACTCCTCCCTATACTCCTCTTTCGAGTCTCGGCTTTCACTCTACTCTAAAAAACAATCATGAGCCTACTTACCCAAGCAATTGCTCATGTATGAGACTTTGAACAAGGTCTGAAGTTCAAGGCTTGGTGCCTTGATGCCAAGATTGACTAGTCTAGCAGACTCCGGCAGTCCATAAGTCCGAGATGCAAGAGACATTAAATGGCGTAGGTAGGCATCCAAACTTTAGTGTACTGACACTGTGCATCTGCCTTTACGTGCATGTACCTTTCACTTCTGTCCATATAATGTCATTCACCGGCCAGGATGACCCATTCTTACAGGCTCAGGCGTAGGTCAATCGCAAGCAATAAACAGTCAGAAACTCACGATTCTCCTCAGTGATGTCCTATCCACTTTGAAGACCACGAGATCATTATTCTCCTCCTACCTTCGAATAAGATCTCTCGCCTCATCCGCATCATCTCCTGAGCTGGCACAAGCTCGCAGCGAGCTTGAGTCCACCGTCCAAGATCTCAGCACAGACCTACAAGACCTAGTAGACAGCGTAAAGGCTGTCGAAGGGGATCCTTTCCGATATGGATTGGATATTGATGAGGTGGGGCGAAGGCGAAAGCTGGTACAAGATGCCGGAGGTGAAGTTGAAAGCATGCGGCAAGAGCTCGCAAAGACCGTTATTGGCGCCCAGAGCAAAGGCCAAGGCATGAACGGAACACTGCCCCCACCATCGGCTTTTGACCCAGATGAACCCGACGGCGATGATTATGGCGTCTTCGAACAGCAAAGACAAGTTGAGATGATGCATGAGCAGGATGAGGCGCTAGATGGTGTATTCAAGACCGTGGGAAATCTACGACAGCAAGCAGACGAGATGGGTAGAGAGCTCGAAGAGCAGGGAGAGATGCTCGAAGATGCGGACAGGCTGGCCGATAGAGTGGGAGGCAAGCTGCAGAACGGCATCAAGAGAGTTGGCTGGGTCATAAAGAATAACGAGGGTATGAGGACCTTCGATCAATCACCCCCACGGCTAAGCGACTAATCGCGTCTCAGATACATGGTCAAGTTGCTGCATTGGCATCCTGATATTTGTCTTGATACTTCTCCTCGTCCTCCTTCTCATTCTCTGATCGTTTCACATACGCCATCATACCCACATGGGGACTCCCGGAAGCCTGATGGCGGATCTACAACGCTGAGGATGCTATGCCGGTCATTCACTTAGCAAGGCACACCACAGCTTCGTGCTGAGGAACGAAATTTCGGCACCCTAGCTCATTTACTGAATTAGTTGAGACAGGCGACTGTCCAATGGGGACCATGCCTCGAGCAGAGCCATAACCTTCGTTTGCAAGGTCTCGCGTCATTGCGGGCCGTGCCCAGCTTCTACGACACTGCTATTGCCACTCCAGCCCCCAAGGCTCAGATGAAGCTATCAAGAGCCGAGAGAAGAGTAATGTGAGCGATTGCTCCGCAGAACCACTCATCACCCAGTCGCTGACCAGATCCTCTTGTAGCTCTTCTCTGAGGCGCAAAATCGCCGGAAACTGTAGGTTTCTGAATGCACATACCACGCAATCAAGACGTTTAAGTTCGAGAAGCGAAAGGGTAGCTCAAAGGAGGGAATCTACGTCTAAGGAGGGGAGAACATCATTGCTCGAGGAGCCTGGCTTCATCGAGAAAATTTGAAGCTTAATGAAGATATGAGGACATGAGGCAAGTTTGCCGTTCTCGAAAATGGCTCAATCTTTGATAAAACAAATTATTCCGTGAAGTATTCCTCTTTGGTATCGTAGCTTATGGTTGAAATGTTCAAGGTCTAACTTCTTCTGCGCCACTTCTTATCCTTGCCGTCTCCACAGACTCCCCAGTCACGGGTTTCACTTTCTTCACTTCTCCAGACCCCCATTGCGCTTGATATCTCCAGTCCCAGATCTCAAATTGCGTTCCAAAATCTCTCCCCACGGCCGGCAAACACAAGTACAGCCCTTCGACCGCAATGAGCAACACGAGCCAAGTCACATGCTCTCCAGGCACACTCTCTACCGTAAGCTTCAAGGGCAAGTTGTTCGTCGTGAGGCCTGCTGCCAGGTTGCGAGGAGAGCCGGATGTCTCCCAGACGAAGGGGTCATCCTTGGGGCCAAGGGGCCCACCGCCGTGACGACTGATCTCGTCATTGATAAATTCGTGGATCCTGAGGAGAGTGCTTCCAAGGATTTGGCCGTCGATAGGATTAGTGGTTCTGACGTGCAATTCGATGGTGGAGTGCGGGACACGATAAACGAATAGTTGGGCTGCTGCGAGAGACTTGTTCGAAGTCGTATATCCGTTAGTCGAGAAGTTGCTGGGCAGGGCGGGTAACCCGGGATTATCGTTGGTCGGTACTGTAGGCAAGCCGATGGGCACGATGGAGGGAAGAACAGCTCTATCTAGGTGTCAGCTGAACTCGATGGATCAGGGACCTGCAGGAACAAGTTGCCTGCCTTTTCGCAAGTGGTAAAGTCTCGAAGCTCGGGGCAGCAAGAGCTCCTGGCGCGGGAAAGACCAACAAAGTCAGCGGGAGCGGTATGGTCTGGAGGCACAGATGGAGATTACTAGGAAGAATCCGCATTTCGACAAACTTGATGAAAAGATTAGCAATGAAAAGTCCGAGCATGCTGCTTGCTGCATATCTGAAAGCTAGGATGACCCCGGTTGCGCGAAGACAAATCTTTGCGACCCGGAGTCTCCAAATGTCATGGCGAAATCATTTCTCCATGCTGAATACATGGCGGTTGTGTCGCGTCGGGTGGTGCAGATGAGTCTGGGATGAGACAGCTCTGCGCATGCGGATAAACAAAACTCATAGTGGGTCGATCACCATAACACGATTTCTTCTCGCAATCGTACCAGAGCTATGTTTGTAGCCAACGAGGCCAAGCTCACCCAGCCGTAATCACCGCCTCACCAAGTGCCTTAAACATTTACATCGGTCGGTGTCCCGAAGACTCTTTTGAAAGCCTCGAAGTGAGCCGCGCGATGAAGTTTGCAAGCCAGAACACAATGAGTTGAGGGTGAAATGGACTTTCACATTAGCAAATCCCTTAGTGAATAGACAGACCTAAGCAAGTCGACAAACCACACCATACCGCTTTAATACCGAGGCTTACAATGCTCAAGCACTTCCGAGGTTCAGCTGCTGTTTCACCCTTCCCAGTGGTAATTATCCTAAACTCTGACAACGTGGAGTATCTCTCAGTTGTGAGCTGCTGGAGAGCATAGCAGCCGTAGAATCGTCAAAAAGAATCACAAATTGAGAGGCTGAAAATAGAACCCAGCATCACGAAATGATGAGGGAGAGTCTCACTGAGTACCCGATTCAGTGTGATAAATAACATCAGGACGACATGGCAGAGAACACTACGGTGCTTACTCAAAGCATACACTCTCTTCATGCAGTCCCTAATCGTTCCTTATCCTGCTCTTCGTCCAGCCTCCCTCGACAACAGCTTCCCTTGCCACATTGTTGATGATGCTGAAGCGATCAGGCCCTAGCTTGACCCCGCCGTACCATCTACTGACGACGACTAGCACGTCCCATACATCCATGATCTTCAACAATTGTAGTAGCCTTCCTCCAGCTGCACGTTCTCCATCGTCATCACAATCCTCGTACAAGATCTCACTTGCTGATTTGGCAGTGGAGAGAGCACGGATACGGTAGGCTGTTGGGTTGTGACTGGCTTTGGCAGTTCGTTTGTCATTCACGAGGAGGTGAGCTAGAAATGCCTGCGCTTGGGCTGGCGATGTGACGGAGCAAGCCCTAGCTACGAAGGTCGACTTCTTCTCGGTGACGGCTGAGGAGAGAATCCAGCGAGGCTCCTCCCCAAGACCACAAGTGACAGGCGGGGCGGCTTTGAGCACAAGACTGGCATCATCCTCAGGATCGGCCAGGGAAGACTGCTGACCATTGGAATCCTCGGCCAACACGGTATCAAGCTCCTGCAGTAGATCGAAGAGGCAGACTGAGCCTGAAATGAATACCGAGAGTAACGTTGCTCGTGCAGTATCTAGTACATGGCTCCCGTAACCCTTTCTCGCCTGCGCCCCGGTTCTTTCTATGCCTAGCAGTTGTGGTATTGACTCAGGATAGTCTGACGGGAAGAGCACGCGCAATGAGGCCTCGACATGGGGAATCGATAGGATGTAGACAAAAGCACCATCTGCTTCTCGTAATACATCGTTGCCATAAATTGACTGAATAGCTTCTATCTCGTCAAGTAGATCTTCGGACATCCTGCCCCAACAGCCTCTGTTGTTATCTGTTGATAACGGAGGTTGAGAGCAAACAGACCGTAGGATTCGCCACAATGAAAAGCTTCAACTGGCTTCCCCATAATCTCTCGAGAGGTTTCTCAATTGCTGCGCGGTAGTTGGGTGGAGACGGTTTGTGGAAGACTGAAGTCTCCCAGTACCTACACATTCTACGGGCGTATAAGACTAAACCCCTAAATGGACTAGTTTCAATATCGCGTCCAGTCGCGCTTCAACTGTTTGGGGTATTCGAATGTCCAACGTCAACCATTGACTTCTGTTCCAGTTTGATGGCACACAATGCGGAAACCAGCTTCTTGGTTGATCGACTGATTAAGGCCTTAATCGGAGATCCGTCAGAGGCTGATGTTGACCGCTGTAAGCGTTCAGCATTGCGCACTCTGGCAAACAGTCATTCTCCGCGTATCAATCAATTCGAGATCACTGCTCGATTGGAGGGTTTGGAGGAGAAATGGAGGATCCTCAACAATGATGTACTAGCAGACGCCTTGGATCTGCGACGAGCAGAACTGTCTGTAACGTCAAACAGATGGACTCCGGAGATTTTATCGCTTTTTTTACAGCTATCGGACAGACCAACTGACCATCCAAATCTTGCGCATCTGGCATCGCTGAAGCCTGAGCTTCCATCTGCGCCATTGACATGGGCCGATATCGTAGCTGAAGACCCATTGGATGACCAGGATGGTATCTGGAAGAATGTGGATTTTACGGCAGATGATTCGGACGATGATGAGCGGATTGAATCATTTCACTCTGATCCTTCAGTACTCACGCCGGAGTCCAGCGTAATTGGACAAGAGGTCGGAGCTTGCATCGAAACACTGATTGAGCCTATTTCGCCTCGGGAAGTTCAAATTGCGCACATCTGGAATTCGCAAGATGCCGATAAGTTTGACTTGATTCGCGAGGAAGACGAAGACCGTAGGCCAAAGACGATCTTGACTGAGCTGCAGGCGGGACGGGAAGTCATCTTCTTACTCCTTGGGTTACCAACGTCTATCTTCAGTCAAGGGGACGAAGGGCAGACTACCGTGTCGAGAGCGGATTTTCTAGAGCATGCCTCTCATGAATCATTGACTAGTCTATTGGCAGGATTTGCTGTAATTGCTAATAAGCTGCTCAGCGTCCGACAGTGGGTTGGAAAGGACGAGAGGATTCCACTCGAACAGACTTTTCAAGCGACCCTTACCTCACGCCTAAAGATTGTTGACCGTGCCTTGTCTGCAATACAAACCAAGATCCTCTCCCTTGGTGCCCAATCATTTCCAAGTCTCTTGGCGCTCTACGATGAGACTTCCAATATCAGCCGACTCTTACTACAGGTATATGACGTTTTGCTGGAATTGGACGTTCATCCAAAGCTCGAAAGGCCTTTCCGCATACTCGAATGCTTGTTCGATAGAACATGTATCAACCAAGGCATTGGAGATGCAGAAGGTTATGAGTACATGGCCAATCTGTTCTTCGACTGTTTTCAGACGTACCTTAAGCCTCTACGATTGTGGATGGAAAAAGGTCAGCTCACAGGGCGCGATGGGGTCATATTCATCAAAGAAGACAAGAAAAAGGTTCATTTGAACTCCGTGTGGCAAGATTCATATCATCTCATCAAAGATAGCAATGGTGTCTTGCACGCTCCAAAATTTCTCCATGTAGCAGCGAAGAAAATTTTCAATACTGGCAAAAGTATCGACTTTCTAAGACGTTTGGGGTGGGAAGACCATGATCTGAAACAAGATCCGGCAAAAGAGCTTGCATTGACCTACGAATCTGTCTGTCTGTCAGCGGATCTTGGCCTGTTCAGTCCTTTCGCCGAGCTTTTCGACATGGCCCTCGATAGGTGGATTGCCAATAAGCATCAGGCATCTTTGTTGGAGCTTCGTGCCCAACTTGATTCGCGTTGTGGCTTGCAATCATCGTTGGATGCCTTAGAGTATATCTACTTCGATAAAGGCGCATTTTGCACCAACGTCAACAACCGGATCTTCGAGAAAATAGATCGCGGGAATCCTCGATGGAATGATGGCTTCACTATGACTGCATTATTCCAAGGGGCTTTCAAATCTATTCCCTGCATTGATATTGATCGGCTTGAGATCTGTCCGAGTCCAGCAACCCAACAGGATTCAAATAGAGCACGGCGCTCCATGAGCGTTCTTGAGGGTATTCGGGTTTCGTACACTCTTCCTTGGCCCGTTGCGAACGTTATCAGAACAGATTCCATTGAACTCTACCAGCGTGTCTTCGTCTTCCTGACCCAATTGCAGAGAGCGAAGTATCTGCTCCAGCGGCAGAAAATCGCAAAAAGCGTGCAAGCAACAGACAAGAAGCCACTATTACAACTTTACACACTTCGCCACCGCCTCCTCTGGATGACAAACACAATGCTGACTTACATCACTAATATGGTCCTTTCAGTGGCTACTGCTGACATGCGTATCGCCATGGATCGAGCTCAGGATGTTGACAGTATGAGCGCAGTCCACCAGGCTTACATCACAAAACTCGAAGATCAATGCTTTTTGCTGAAAAAACACGCGTCTATTCGCCAAGCTATCGTATCATTGCTTGATCTAACAATTCTTTTCTCAGACCTGCATGCCTCCTATGCTACCAGACAGATATCCTCTGACTGGGAGAGTAGCTTCACAATTACAAAAGCCAACCAAAAGCATGCAATTCATTTCAAACAGGAAAAGCTGGCCAAAGCAGCCTCAGACGATGAGGACACCGAATCCGATTCTGACGACTCCAGTCCCTGTTCCGCTTTGCATGCGGAGCTTCCGGATGCTGGTAGGCTGAAGCAAATGCTCGACACCTTCAGGAGTCTGCATGGTTTTGTGACCGTAGCAGTGAGAGCAATCAGCAAAGCTGACAGTACACCTTCATGGGAAATGCTTGCCAGTAATCTAGCTATGGGGCTGGAAAAGTGATGCTTCGAGAACATGTCATGGAGTGGGACTAGCAAGGAAAGCTGCACAAATACGCAAAATCGAGTCATTAAGCTCGAAAGGGAGACGCTGCAAGGATACCCTGTGAAGGACAGAAACTCTTTACACGCTCTAGGGTCCATCGCGTATTCTACGAACCTAGGCAAAGCCTCTTACACATCTGAGCAGCAGAACCAGACTACATCTGGTCATAAGTATTAGATCCAACTTACGGCCAGTGACCCGTCGGTATCCCAAAGTCAAGGTTACCAATTTGAAGACTGAAACTGACGTTCGCTATTGGCATTATGAAAGGCAAGCTTGATATCGACAGCAACAATAAAGCGGCTTCTGGATTCAACGGTCTGTAACGCAGATCGGTGAATTGAAAAGGCTGGGCTTCTGTTGTTGGTTCCTACAAAGACGAAGGTTTAGTAATCTCTAGCTGATCCGTGCGAGCCTCAGAGTCTCGTCTTGTGATAATGGTACATTGATATGGTCTGGAGTGACTGCCAGGGGATGCAGGAGATGCTTTATGTGTATCCTAAAGATGGGCCGAGGCGGGCAATGGAGAATGATTAATGGTCTTGAAATGAGGCAACTCGGGCCTAGCCCGGCTCTAGTCTTGCCGAGGATTTGCCATGTTGATACTAGACAATATGTAGTGAAATGTTTTCTTGAATAGAGAAAAGGATAAGAATGATGAAGGATGGGGAGGTAGAAGAAGTATGCCAATGGCCATGACGATCTCTTCATACCTATATTGTTTCCCAAGTGACTGGTCGATGAGAGGCCGAGAAAGACTGCCCACATGGCTATCCCAAGACCGTTGCGTGCTTTGGCGATAGTATCTGCTTTTTTATTGTTCTACCTCCTCTTCCAGGCCTTTAGAACCCCGCCAACAATACATGGACCAGGCGATCTGGAGCATGAGCTTCCTAACGAGCCGACCTTACAAGGTACAACAACCGTAATATGCTCACATGTACATGCTAATAGCAACCAGAGTACGGCGAACCTCCTCCACCTTTATGGCGAGCCGATGGGTATGCTGCGGACAATCCCGATTCACCTCGCATTAATGCGACACTGCTGGCGCTGGTACGAAATGAGGAGCTAGATGGTATGCTGGTATCCATGAGAGACTTGGAGCGAACATGGAACTCAAAATTCAACTACCCCTGGACATTTTTCAACGACGTCCCCTTCTCAGAAGATTTTAAACGTCTAACCCAGATGGAGACGAAAGCAAAATGCAATTATGGTACGGCTGTCCAGTTTGCCCCTCATTCCAGCGTCTTCGCAAATTAATAGAATTTCTTCCTACAGAATTAATTCCCAAAGAACACTGGGCAGTGCCCTCCTGGATCAATAGCGATCTTTTTGATGAGTCTGCCAAGATGCTCGAAGAGCAAGAGGTTCAGTACGGCCCCATGGTATCCTATCATCAAATGTGCCGCTGGAATAGTGGCATGTTCTACAAACACCCAGCCCTCCAAGATGTCCGCTACTATTGGCGCGTCGAGCCAAAAGTACACTTCTTCTGCGACATTGACTACGATATATTCCGCTGGATGAATGATCACAATAAGACGTACGGGTTCACGATCAACCTTTACGATGCGCCGCAGACCATACCAACTTTGTGGCCAGAGACAGAAAAGTTCATGGCGGCACATCCAGAGTATTTGCACGAGAACAATGCGAGGGAGTGGGTCGTGGATAGCAAAAGGAGGCCGGAACACAATATAAAAGCGCACGGGTACAGCACGTGTCATTTTTGGAGCAATTTCGAGATTGCGGACATGGGATTTTGGCGTTCCAAACCCTATGAAGACTATTTCGAGCACTTGGATCGAGCGGGTGGTTTCTTCTATGAGAGGTGGGGGGATGCGCCGGTGCATAGTATTGCGTTGGGACTGTTTGAGGATAAGAGCAAGATCCATTGGTGAGACTTCCCGCATCTGCATTCGACCTCGAACCCAATATGGACAGGCGCCATCTGACTGCATTCCAGGTTCCGTGATATAGGATACCAGCACATACCCTACTTCAACTGCCCTAAATCGCCCAAATGTAGAGGGTGTGTCACGGGCCGCTTCACCGATGGCGAGAGATTCCTATTCAAGGAAGATTGCAGGCCTAATTGGTTTAAATACGTGGGCATGGATTGATACTTGAAGATGGCACAATGGGGCCTTCGAGGGAGAGAAGACAATAACTCGTTCCCTATACATGACTATGTGTATAGTAGGTATTTGCTACCTTCGATCGGCATGTCAACAGTACGTACATTTTGGCGCAAAAAGGCATCACGGAGGCACCTGTGTATCTGAGCTATTTCAATGTACATAATAGCCTTTCAATGGTGCAAGACTGAAGCACTTGTAGTCCTGCTCAAGTTCGTCGAATTTACGAAGTCTAATGTCAGAATTTTTCAACCGTGGCGCTTTCTAACAAATCGTGGTCTATTCCGTGTCCGAGCCCAGGCTGAAGGCAAAAGTGCACTACCAGATCGGTCTCAGCGCAGCGCAGAACAAACCTGTAATATGCAAGCCATTCGACCTTATTGAAGCGGAGCAACGAGCAAGCTTTGGCAGATATTTATGTGCATATATCGCGTACAGACGAGTCAAACGGCGTCGTGCAATCTTGGTTGTAACGTGCTTCTCCAATTCTCCTCTTCGTCCCCAATTTCTCAATACGCCCTCGGTCCCTTTCAAGCCCTATTTGCACCTCCAGTGTAAAGTTGCTCGGGATACAAGTCCTCCTTCAAATCGATACCTAATTCTTCCCGAAGCGGTTCGAGATCGCGCAAGTATTCGTCGTATTGGCCCTTGTTTTCGACTTTGGCCTTGATACCTGTATCTCAAGGGGTGAGTACGTCTTCGAAAAAGAAAAGGCTGAAGTGAGTAATGCACCTTCGAAGACGCGTACGGCAGTGGGAAAATCATTAACTCTTCTGGCTGCCCTAAGAGCGGCTGTGATGACAGAAGGAGAGGGGACGAGATCGTAGGCGAAAGCGTTGTTCAGGTTACGCTGTTGTAAGACGAAAAACTCAGAATTCTAGGGTTCGGCTTTGCGGGGCGAGATGTAGTCTTTACCTGTAGTTCGAAGACATCTTGAACACCATCGAACTCTTTCTCATATCTGGAAACGTCTCTTGTCAGCCAATTGACCCATCATAGTTGCCCCAGGGTTCGATGTTTGGATGCTCTGCACTCAGAGAGCTAGGGCAGGTCGAGGACAGACGAGCTGCCAAATGCCCATACCTAGCAGTGAACTCCTCAAAGCTCTCTTCATGATGCCCTGAGCCCCCGGTTGCCTCTTGTCCATCCTTATCGGCTGCCCTCCTAACACTTGTACTGAAGTAATTGCATGGCACCGTCGCGGATGAGCCGGCGTATACTCCCCTTGGAGAGATTGTCTTTGCTGGCTGCGATGACCGGAACAGGTACGATGGCTGTGTGCGCGCGGCTAGACGAAAGAGAGTGGCGGAAGACATTGAGGATGCGCAGTGAGGACGCTGAGGGGAGATTTAAACTGGGTCGGATGGTGAGTGGAGGTACGGAGATACCTATAGCCGGAGTTTGCTCCTCAGATCAGGGGAGCTAGGGCTGAACAAAAGACGTACCTATCGGTGGTAATTGAAGCTTTCACAATTCTGGATAATCTGTGTTTTAAAAGGAGCAGATACCGTCGATGAATATGGTCAATTGGACCTCGTCAGTTGCCTTCTGGTCAAGGCAAATTTCTCGTCCAAAGATTTTCTCTCTTTTCTATGGAGAGCAGTCGTTGAGCTTTCTCTCACCTTCCCTGATAGCTGATTGATTGCCTGCCATGATTGGTCGAGGCATTTCCATCAGCCGAAATTTGAGCGCCCGCCAGCGCCGCGCAACCATCCCTCCTCCCAACTCTCCTTTCTCCAGACTTTCTCATCAAGTTCGAATGACCTTTGCGTAGCAGTGTCACGTCGTCAATCGCCTTCTTACATTCGATTCTAGTCACTCTTTTATCAACCTTGCCGCATGTGAAAGTATTCTGGCACAACAAGCCCATTCTTCCACCACTTTTCCATTATACGGACCCATTGACTATTATTCACCGAATATACCCTTAGCCAGTACCAATCGCCAAAGGCGCTCACTGCTTTGGCAGACTACCGGCATCATGTCATCCAACCGTCTCGATTCCATTCCCCTACCTACGCTCGACAGACCCTTCATTGTGGAACTATGGCCTCAATTCGACAAGCTCTATTCCCACGTCGTGGGACACTCCGCAAACAAATTTGTCTTCGTACCAGGTGCAACGTCTCTGTCGACCTTCACAGCGACGGTAACAATGCTCGTAACGTATTACGTGACGGTCTTTGCAGGGAGAGAGTTCATGAAAAATCGGGAACCATTCAAGCTCAATGGCCTATTCATGGTGCACAATCTAGCTTTGACCATTATCAGTGGAGTTCTTCTGGCACTCTTCACTGAGCAGTTGCTACCAACAATTGCGAGAAATGGAGTCTTCTACGCCATATGCGACCACAGGGGAGGATGGACAGCCCCTCTGGTGACTCTATATTACGTGCGTACTCCTCTGTCGCGGTCAGGAAAGTTGGGACTGACAGCCTGTAGCTGAACTATCTTACAAAATACGTGGAGCTGTTGGACACTGTCTTCATGGTTCTCAAGAAAAAGCCCCTCAGTACGTCAAGAATTTCTAATCCTAAAGTACTCAGCTGATGCGCCCAGCCTTTCTCCATACCTATCATCACGGGGCTACTGCTTTGCTCTGCTATACTCAACTCGTTGGGCTGACCGCCGTCTCCTGGGTCCCCATCACCCTCAATCTCACCGTCCACGTAGTCATGTACTGGTACTACTTTCAAGCCGCGCGCGGCGTGCGCATCTCGTGGAAGAAATGGATCACCAGGCTCCAAATAGCTCAATTCGTCATCGATCTTGGCTTCGTCTATTTTGCCTCCTACACTTACTTCTCCTCAACCTACTTCCCTAACCTACCGACGGCCGGCAAATGCGCTGGTGAAGAGTTTGCTGCTTTTGCAGGCATGGGCATCATCTCCTCCTACCTCCTACTCTTCATCTCCTTCTACTTCGCTACATACAAGAAAGACAATGCAAAGGGTGGACGGGGGCGGAAGAAGAGCAGAAGACTTAGCCAGACGGCAACAAGAGCGGCCATCGACATGAGCAGGATGGAAGTGCCTGACGTGCAACGCATGGAAGATGCTGTGCATTTGGGAGGTCATTCCAATGGATCAGCAACAGGGAAAGAAAATGGTGGAATCACGCCCAGGGTGACACGGTCGAGAAAGGGGGAAGAGTAGCATACATGAGAACCTGGAAACAGTTCTTTGCACGTGCCATTCCAGGAGTGGGTATCGATTTTGTACGTACTCCAGGAGGTCATGATATTTGATACTATGTAAGGTTGGTGTGGATGCTTTACGCTCCTGTCGGATTTGTGGGCACAATTCTCATGGCGGATGCACCAGTGCACTCAGGAACGGAGGCCTCAAGACTGCGTTTCAGGGCCTTGCTACGGGACCTTTGGTGGAAAATCGTTTGAAGTAGTCGTAATATGTACAACATAATAGCAATCTCTCCAGACTCGAGCTATAAGCATCCGGTGAACAGCAAGCCTTCTATACTTGTCATATTGTATTGATTATGAAGCTGTGTGGCATGAAGCCCAAGCTGATGAATAGTGGCTACGGCGCCTGAGCCTCGAAGTGCCCAATCTCTTTGACATCGTACCTCTGACTCGGTACAGCACGGCTACTGATAACCAAACGGAACCATGTTACCCAACCATCTAGCTCCTCGAGACGACGGAAGGCCTAGCCCCATAGTATCTCGAGCATGCGGGTCTGACAGCGCTCGTCCGGAATTGCATAGGCTCCCTGGCGACGTTCCACTAGCTTCTCGCTCTTTCCATGGGAATGATAATGCGTGTACTTCTGTCCGTGCGAGACCTTGAGCCACACATTCCAGGCCTTATCATGGAAGTTTGTATCCGAACCAAAGGCTGCAAACACTTTTCATGTAGAGTGTGAGGATAGCGAGAAGTGCGGAGAAGAAATCAACAACGGGTATACTTGGCAGACTGGATTCATGCAGGCCAACAAAGCTGCAAGGTGGTTGATAGTAGCCGAAGTTGACTGCGGTGGCATATTTTAAGGTTTGCGATGGCATGAAAAACAATCGGGAAAAGAGTTTTCCTGATTGGGGGCCCCTGAGTCGTACCTTCTTGGGATGGCCAGTACGACTCCAGTGGGCCCTGATTATGCAGGGCCATGGCTTTTGAGCAGCCTGGGTGGGACGATCTGATAGATGGAGACTTATGCTTGGTCCACAACGGTATTGAGGTGGCGACGTCGATTAATACCAGACGTTCGTTGACAGAGATATAACAGATGCTTGCGATATTGCAATCAATGAGCTTCCTTCGGAGACGTTGAGAATGGACTGTATTTGGAGACGATATATTGGACTGTAGAGTAAGGAAAGAAAAGAATGATGACACTAATACTAATCATTGAGATGATGAAATGACAGTTGTGCAAACTTGGAGATAACGATTGTATTACCATCAACCTAGGTATTAAGCCAGTACCATTTTGATGAAATGAGAAACCGCTAGATTTTCATCCAAATCCGCGAATAAACAGTGCCAACGCAGGGAGATTAGGTTCGATAGTCTCACGGTCCTAAGAACATCTATGCATGAGAGGAAAGCAAACCGCCAGGGCGAAATATGCCGGATCTACTAGGCACCATACTACCGTGCGGCCCCTGAAGTTCCTGAACCTGGGTGGCACCAGTGGAGTAGGTACATGTAAGCTTCGGGCACTTTTTCTTGAAACAATTTGGGTCTGCACAGGTCGAAGTGGACAAAGCTGTGGTTGAGTCACTGTCCAGGCCGTTCATAATTCATTGTATTACGAGATATGCATCATTGCAAGCCAGGTCTTCCGGGGCAGATGTGAGATGGTGCTCAATGCTGTCGCCAAGCTCTTGTCGGCACCATCAAAATTGTGCTCTCTGCACCGCACAGGCAATATTTATACTTGAAGGTTCATCGTGCATAGGTGCAATGTGTCCAGAGCTTAGAGCCCAGAGCGCTTTAATCTGTTGCCACGTACCCTCTTCATAGACGCTGGTCAGATGCCAAAAACACGCATTGCGGAGTGGTTATACTCATCGCTCGGCCTAGAAGTATCTGAGGATCGGACCAATCGTCCTGTAATGATCCGAGATGCAAATCGTCCGGGCGTTGCTGACTGTTGAGCCTTGACGCATACAGCATTGACACGGCAGTAATAGGCGTAGCTCATCTGCCAGCGCTGGCATCGTTTGGAAGCAAAGGCTTTTGTTGGGAAAGTTTTCTTGCCCAAATAGGTAGTGAAAGTAGTAAGATATGCGACTGCAAGCAAGGCACATATGCAGCCGCATAGAAATGGGCAATGTTAGTGGCACGCGTATATATCTATGCGTCTTCATCGAGACAGCCGCTGCATGAGAGTGATTGTCCAGTCTCCACACAAACGGCCGGTTATCGCATGGTAGCGAAGAAGTGAAGATGAAGCATGTGGGTAAATGATGGCAAAGGACAGGCCGCTTCCAGAAGAGACGGAGGTTGGTGGGTGTCAAAGAGGTCAGGGTACAGGAATAGATAGAGATGGTATCGTGGTCAAGAGAAAGATGCTCTCGGTACCATACAATTTCATGGTAATAAAAGATCTAAGGTAGTCTGATCTAAGGTAGCTTTAGTATGATGGCGAAGAGTGGGAGAAATTGAATTACTTTAGTCATTTAAGGTACATCTGGTGCCTAAAGTACTTTACTGCCTAGGAGAATATTAAACTTGCGGCTTGCTCGAGCCCGTAGAGTTAGCGTTGGACAGCCGGCCTGTTAGAATTCTGATGGCGATTCGACTGTCCAACAATAACATGTAGGTATTGCAGTTTCCTGTACAGAGTAGAGAGTAGATAAGTACCGCTATGTAAGAATGTATGTAGACAAGCCGATTATCAGTATTGTAGAAGCGCACCTAGCAGCGAACGGCTTCATGCAATACGGAAGGATGCTCCTGCGTCATGCGTCATGTAGGTACGGGCCTGCTTTCTTAATTCCGTTACCCCTCTTTTTGTCTCCGTTAGATTGAACGCTAATGCACCCCAGTGCCCACAGCCAAATGTGTGGCCGTTCGGGAAATTCCTTCAGCAATCACATCCACAATCACAATCGAAAACCACGGCTGGTGCGGATGGAAGCATGGAGAAGCGCAAAGCCGCATTGTATACCTAGTTAGACCTCAGACTTGGATTGCCAGATAGAAAATGATACTGAAACAGACAAGGTACGGTAAGATGGCCAAATAATCGACCTCAGGTGCTTTACTGTATAATTAGACATATGGTCGAAGGCTCGTCGAGTCGTCATTTTGGGGCCACGGGAAGCAGATGGACAGAAGATTTGTAAATTGCAAGACAAGCACGCCAGGCTTGAAACAGCAGGCCCGGCCGGTTTCACGTGGTCAATCCTTCGGCTTGGCTGAGGGGCTGCTAGTCCGCTTGGTGCCACTTCTAGGGGGGCCTTTTGGAGGGACCTAAGCATGTACATTACATATCGATTGGCATTAAGTACCTCCTCTTGTCCATGGTATCCATATTTGACGCACTATTTGCATCTGACCACAGAGCTTCACGCAACCATCCTTTCGTGATCAGACCGATTCTCATACCGTTGAACCGTTAAACCCGCAGCTACTGGCTACTGGTCGGGTCTTTTTTTTTTTTTTTTTTTTTTGCTTCCCGGAGTGACGAGGCGTGCATGGCTGCGCTCTGGAATAAATAGGCGCAGCAATGGATGGTGGAGAGGTGGGAATGTCACGAGCGTAGCTACACTAACCTTAGGGTAGGAGTTGCGGTTGGCAACGATCATGCAGCCTCTTTAAATTTCCTAGCCAATAGATGGCTTGAAACCCACACCCCATTCATCATTTCAACCATTTTACCCTTGCCCTCACAGGTACACTCTCCCCACCATCAAGCCGTTAATAAACCTTCCGTCGACTTCCAGGGTTATTATTTTGGCGATTGTCGATCTTACCGTGCTGTAAACGGTACACGCACATGTCCTGCGGCCCTGCCTTCATACAGTAATCTATATGATAAGCCGGCCTTTCCTTCTGCGGCGCGGCTGACTATAACCACCGTACTCCATTCTCAGCTCCATTATTATTAACTCTTCCACAATCCCCCCATGTTGGATACTACCAACCAACACTGTCCTTCTGAAACCGTGCTGTACGCCTTGTTACAGTGACATTGCCTAATCTTGCTACGCTCAGCTCACATCCATCATCGTCATCATCATCATCAACTTGGTTCATGAATGAAAGCATAGCCTCCCATCCTGACCACCATCCTACAATCAGTACCATCCAGCAGTAGTGGTTATGCCTGTCCTCCATCATCGACACTCAGTATCAGATTCACGACAATTAGACGGTGCAAAGCAAAGTATCAAAAGCAACAACGCCATGGCAGACCATTTATGGATCCTGGACGAGACTTACGAGAGGCCCGAGAAGGAAAGGCATCTCCCTTCGACAACAATCGGCAGAGTGCCCTCGAAGAAGGATAACCCAAACCATCTCCGCATCGACACATACAGCAAAGCGAATCTTTATGATCGCTACATGTCGAGCGAGGAAGAACCCTCTCCCAGTCCCGATAGCGACACGGAGAGCAATGAAGAGGAGCTCAAGCACAAGGTTCCAGAGAAAATTGTCGAGGCGACTACCGAGCCAGTCACCGCCGACGAATACGAAGCCGAGATTGCTATTGCTGTTCCCATACTCGCAATGGGCAAACCGAAGTTGGTGGACATCACCAACCTCGCCCCAATGCACAAACGCAAGCGAGCGGAGAAGTCGGTGCTTTCACGCTCACTTGTGAAGAACGCCACCCTCCGCATGCCCACGGTCACAGACGAGAACAGGCCCTTCGTCGCTTCTGAAGCCACAAAGATTGTTACTCCAGAGGCTGGTCTTCCGACGCGCAAAGCCAGCCTCCGCTCGCTAGCTCCCGACTCATGGCTTCCTGATGACGGTGTTCGCATTGTGCAAGAGGAGGAGGAGGAGGAAGATGAGCATTACTTCCCCGATCTTGAACTACGCAAGGCTCCCACTTACAATGACTACGACCCATACTCGCTCAGTCCGCCACGCCTGTCCCCTAGGAACTCATACAACTCGACCAGCAAGAAGCCGGGTAGCGTTGCTCGGGCCAGAAACACTTCCAACCCACCCACCACCATGAACAGTGGCTGGAAAGGGCTCACCAGGTCGATGAGTCTGGCAAAGAAGCAGGCTCTTCATCGAGCGGATCATCAAGTCTCCAAAAAACCGAAGATGATCGCCAGGGCGGCGGACGAGAGGGAAGAACCTCTGATAATACCAGCGTTTCCGTTCGGGGATGGCAGAGGCGTGGATTGAGGAGATACACCAAGCTTGACATGGCGGCATATGTACACAGGGGAGATGATCATGATATGATATTGATGGGCACACTGGGATCACGGGACGAAATTTGAGGTTTTGCGCAGCATGCATCAGCGATAGATACCTTCCACGTTCGTTGTTTCTTTAATTTTGTACCTCTTAATGAAATGTCCAGAAACAAAACTTGACAGAAAATTAGAGTAACTCATTTTCGTTGACCTCCCACACGGCTGGTGCTGCCGACATGTTTACTAGAAGTGCACTAATCTGAATGCGGGCTAGGTGCTCGTGACGGAGAAAATCTTGTACGAGCAGCATTGCTCCTCGTCTTTCTCAGGTCTATTTCTCCATCTATTTGTGGCATTAGCCTTTACAACTTTACAGTGCTATGAGACCTCGAGTCTACAGCGCTGGAAATCTTGTTAGATAAAAAAAAACTTGGGTAGAAGAAAGAATTTTGAAAGGGAACAGATTGCTTATCTCCACCAAGAAGATGTGTTTGGTGTAGGCATTGTGTCTAGATACTGGGGTGTCCAGCCAGTGAGCATTTGGGTCACAGAATTTCGAACCTCGGCCCGTTATCATCCACTAATACAAGCTCTGCTTCGCTCTCCGTTGCCCAATTGGTATTGATCGTGCATCTTCTGTAGTGAAGCAAATCAGATCTCTGGCGTGTTACCATCATCGCTATGGATCAACACTCCATTGGTTCGTCGGCACTGGAGTCGAGGGTCCTAATTATCATGACTGGCGGAACCATATGCATGAAGAGAAGCCCAAATGGCTTCGTACCTGCAAGAGGGTTCCTGGAGTCTGGCATGGCTCCTCGTCCTTCATTTAACGACTTTTCCAATCCCGATGATATTGTCATCGTGGTCGACGACGGGACCGAGGTGTCTCACCGTAGCCTGCGAACGCCAGTCAGTACGTATCAAAAGCATGTTCGGTATGCTGTGTTCGAGTTTCAAGAGCTTCTGGATAGTTCCTCAATCTCCTCTGAAGGGTGGAGCCAAATTGCTCAGACAATCTTCAGAAATTACAAGCTCTTCGACGCCTTTGTCATCCTACATGGCACAGACAGCCTTGCCTATACGTGCTCTGCGCTCAGTTTCATGCTGCAAAACCTAGGGAAGCCGGTCATCTTGACAGGAAGCCAAGCGCCAATGCTAGAGCTCCAAAATGATGCCACAGATAACTTGTTAGGATCCTTGATCATTGCTGGCCACTTTATGATACCTGAAGTATGCCTCTTCTTTAATTACAACCTTTTTCGCGGGAACAGGACTACCAAAGTCTCTGCTAGCGATTTTTCAGCCTTTGCGTCGCCAAATGCGCCTCCATTGTACGTACATTTGGGAGATGACCCTGCACATTTGGTACCGAGATTGAGTTGCGAGACATGTTTCGGGAGAAATTTTACCTTTCTACTCCCGAGACCTGTCCTGCAACTCCAGTCTTTGCCGCGAACAAGCAATGCTGACTCCGTAATCTGCGTAGAGGAACTATCTCATCACTCAAGACCCACGTGAAATGGGAACTGATTCATAGGCCAACGCATCTCGAGCCATTTAGTAGACAAACGAATCGTGCAACGGCCGATGTAGCTTGTCTGAGGATCTTTCCTGGCATAGAGCCCCGAATGGTCGAAGCTGTGCTTCAGCTTGATGGCCTTAAAGGTCTAGTGCTAGTACGCATTTCCGCAGCCCATATTTCCCCTTTTTGAGGCAAGTCTTGAGCTTTAAACATGTCTTGGGAGTCTCTACTCTCGAAACATGTTCCAAGGGTCGATATAACCCCTCAAATAGGCAATACTGACGGCGAAATTGTGATACAGGAGACTTTTGGCGCAGGGAATGCCCCTGGAGGACCTGATGGAGCTCTCACCAAAGTGTTTGCAAACGCAATCAGAAGAGGCATCATTATTGTCAACATCACTCAGTGTGAGAATATCCACTCATGTACCCGGACTGCACTTATCCCCATTGTAGGCATGACCGGAACTGTCAGTCCCCTGTATGAACCCGCGATGTTGCTGAAGCATGCTGGCGTCATTCCTGGGCATGATATGACCTCCGAGGCCGCCCTTGCGAAGCTTTCCTATCTCCTTGCGATGCCAGGCTTAAACCCTGAAGATATCGTACAGAAGATGTCTGTTTCTTTGAGAGGTGAGATGACAGAGCAGGTGAACATGGTATGTTGGTAATACCTGGGTATGCAGTTACTGCTATAATGAGACTGATCACTAGATATGGTATTCTTAATGATGTCTGTAAAGTCTAAAGAAGAAGGACTCTATGTACAAGAAGACAGCCTTTATATACCAATGTACTAGGCCGAATAAGTACTAGTGGTAGCGTGTGTTGAGTTACCGACACTGGCAAAAACCGAAAAGAGATGAGGCTATTCGCCTGCTATTAAAATATTACTTCTTCGAATCCTTCTCTGTAATGCTCTCTATGGCTGCAATCCCTCCCTTTGCTGTGGGCGTAGATCTGATCATGCTAGGTTTATTTCTAGTAGCAATAAGAGAAAGATAGATCCTTATGATCAAATCCCTGGATAGCTACATCAAGAATGCATCGTCTATATACTCTATGCACCTATCCTTGGCCTATAGCCTTCCGCTTCTCCGTATCACGAATGTAGCCGAGCGGAGAGGCGAGCCAAGAGGCGAGAAAATGACTATGCTGGGAGGCGAAAAGTGGAGCGAGAAAATGAGCATGCTGGGAGGCGAAAGGTGGAGCGAGATTTGGAGTATGCTGAATTCGAGCGGTGCTGAGCGAGAAAGTAGACTCTCTGAGGATCGATATAGTGCGCGGACGTAGAACCGCAGAGAGTTGGCTCGTGTTGACAGGGCTGCTGCTTGTAATGCTCTTCATCGTAGTGCTCTTCAAAGAATCCTCTGCAACGGCCTGTTCCTTGATCTCGAAGTCTTGAATGACTTGGTAGGGCGAGGGTAGTAGGTGTGGGACTCGGTAATCTGGGCCGCAGTTTGTGGTGAGGGGGGAAGGAGCGCAGTGGTATCCTCAGGCTGTTGTTGTTGAGGCTGACGTGGAGGGCCGTCGCTTGGAGTGGAGGGAGGGTGGACTGGAGTGGTATCCTCGACAATTGGAGTGGGGGGAAGGTGGACTGGAGTGGTATCTTCGACAATTGGTTGATAAGGTGTTTGCGGGGGAGAGGAATAGTGTTCTCCGGTCGATAAGGCTGTTGTTCCTGCATTGATTGAAACGGTTGCTGAGGGTAGTAATGAGATGGTTTTGGTGGGGGACGGCCTTCGTCGTCTGATGGCCATGGGATCTCTTCCTTGATTACGTCTGCTAATTCTTTGGCCATCGAGAGTCCTCTTCCTTTCCTTAACATAGGCTCCATTGGCCCGTAGGCAATCTCGTAGGCTGGTAATGGCGTCCTTGCTAAGAACCTCGAAGTCCTCTCTGACGTATAGGGCAAAGTCGTCAGCAAAGACGTCAGAGAGTGTGGTAAATTTGTGTATTTTGTATTGTTGTATCCTCCAACGGACGAATTTCTCGAGTTCCTCTTTGTTGTCTGGTGGCTTGGCTCCTTGTAGTTCCTCTAGCTCACTCGTAGTCATAGGTGGAGAGTCAGTAGCCATTTTGGTGTCCATTTTGGTGTGTGTTATGTGTTAATGTGGTGTGAAGCTTGGTGGTGTTTGGTGTTTTCTGGGTGTTTTCTCTGCTGGGTAGGAGTTGTAGGAATTGTAGAAATTGTAGTTCTATTCAATCGAATCGTCACAATGAGCGGAATCGATTGAGTAACATAGAACCATGTAAAGTACCGCGGCGATATCGGGACGGACTTCCTTCAGAGTATGGCCTTGCTAATCTGTGTACTAGTATTGAAGTACACTGATCAGTGTTGGTAATACCTGGGTATGCAGTTACTGCTATAATGAGACTGATCACTAGATATGGTATTCTTAATGATGTCTGTAAAGTCTAAAGAAGAAGGACTCTATGTACAAGAAGACAGCCTTTATATACCAATGTACTAGGCCGAATAAGTACTAGTGGTAGCGTGTGTTGAGTTACCGACATGGTATTTGAGCACCCCAGCGGCGTGTTACCTGACCGACTAGCACGTCTTACGTCCCTTGGATATGCTATCTCCAAGGGGGACGTTCCCGAGATCCAGAAGCTTTTGAAGGGCGATCATGGCTGGCTGCTCAACGAGGCCGATTACTCCGGCAATACGCCTTTGGTGAGTACCCACGCATCATTGACGGCATTGTTAAGCTAAGCATTCACGAAAGCATATTGCCGCTACAGGACCTAGTCTAGAAATCCTTCGGATCCTGCTGACAAAAGGCGCTTCAGTGCACCTGCGAAACAACACCGGCCGAACGCCTTTGTTTGCCTCAGCCAATGCCGGACTCATGGAACATGTCTCCCTACTCAAACGGTCAGGGGCTCATGTCCATGCGGACGAGCTCAGCATGGCTCGATTGCTCGCTCAAAGTTCACCAGACGTATGGAGCATGGTTGGAGTGGCGTAGTTAAGGTTCCGGGTCCAAATTTAGCCGCCGTTCACTCTCCGCGAAAATTTGTGGAGATAAAGTAACATCTGCTGTGACATTGTTATGCAGTGAAGCATCCTTTCCTTCCAAGGTGCCGGTCACTACTCTAAAGAGTTGCTTCAATAACACCAGGCAGAGATCTGGACGCAAATGCACCGAGAACCCCAGCTTCAAATGTCTCCGTACCAATTAATAGCATCAATTGGCTTGCGTGCCGTCGCGTCGAAGCTGAAATCTACGACCGTCTTCAGAACAAATTATTGTATTCAAGAGCCAACCGTCCCTGGGGTGATCCATTGACCTGTTGGATGTGCAGAAGCGACGCCAGAAAAAGTCGTAGTTGTGGGGGTATCGATCTCGAATATATCAAACATTCCAGCATGAAGAAAGAAGTTTCCCGCCCGCTCAAAATTGGGACGAAATGCTCCTACGCATCATCAGCTGGTTCATACGGCTTAAGCCTATGATCGTGCAAGATGAGAGCAGGCCAGCGCTCGAGACTGTTAGGTATTTGGGGCATTATAGCTATGCGCGCCACGGCTTGTTTGGGGTGAGAATCAGGTGGTTGTTTTTGGAAGGATAGAGGTGGTGCTTTGCGCGAAGGATTTTCCAGTTGAAGATGGTTTCTCCAAAGCCTTTGATGGCTTGCTGGAAGGCTACGTGCACCAGATACCCAAAGTAGCTGCCAGAATGCCTACGAACAGATGGCCAGGCCCCAGTTGAACAGCAGGACGAGTCTACTCGATGAGCCCCCTGGAACACCTGTCCAACTGCCTATGACGATGCTCAATAATGTCCTCGATCCAACCTCGAATTTGTGAAAGCATGTGTTCTCTGGTGATTGGTTATAGTGACCATTTTCGGGATAGTTTCCAGTCCACGTGCTATTACTTATTAGGCTTCCCGTGAGTCCAAGGGACGGCTAGATGCTGCAAAAGGCCGTAACAGATCAACCTCCTTCCTTGTCCTCGGAAGCGATGATGCAAACATCCGCACCAAATACAACCGTAGTAGATGCCCATAGATTCTTCTTCTTTCTCTCTTTGCGAGACGAGTGATTTTCGGTGGATACTCGAGGTGCTTTGATCGCCCGATGGATCTTCTCGCGTTTGACTCGAAGCAGAAGTATTATCCGTTGCTTTTCGCTAATCATGATTGTGAAGACGAGGTTGTTGGACTACCTTACTTTTCGGTTGTTTGGACTCGCTTATAACCAATAAAGCCTCACCCGTATATTTTTCGCATTCCCCAGAATCTTTTTCAAGCTTTTAGACCCTCAGACGGGATTACGTAAATATATCAGTCCCTGCTTTTTACTTTACTGTTTTCACACCATCAATCATTCAACCATTATCATCATCATCATCATCATCATCATCATCGAACAACGCCTCTTGGAAAGTTGCAGATACACGTTATCCGAACGAGGACTACCATTTGTTGCCCCTCCTCCTCAACGCAGCCCAGTTAGGATGAATGCATACAACGATCGTTTACTCTACATGATAATTTGTTTGAAGGATGGATGAATTGATCGTCTCCGCGGATCTGTCTATCAATCAAGTGGCATCGGAGCTTTGTCCGCGTGAGGATTGACTCGATACTATTCACGCACACGGTCACACAATACCTTCCTCGCCTTCTGCACACCGCTGACTCTCCTCCACATCCTGTTCAACGAGCCAAGCAGCATATGATTTTATGACTCTCTATCTTGCTCAATCACCGTATCGTCATATCGTGTCATGAGATGTCACCATGTCGACGGTTCAGAGCTAAGAAAAGACGGCTTTCCTTGACTTTCCTTATCAAACAAACTCTGATTGTGGGGGAAGATAGAGTATACTCTAAAGTACCTTACATACCAGAGTAGTACGAGTAGTTCAATTCTTCCTTTCTTCCCCGTTCTCCCCCGTTCTTCCCCATCATATTATTATTATTATTATTATTGTTATTATTACTACTAGGTACTTGATTCTTCCACCATTCCAGTACCAAACAATATCTCTGCCCTACCCAACAACTCTATTTCCCCAGCTTTTCCCCCCGTTTCCCGTTCCCCCTTTCCCATACCCACTTGCCCTCCTTGTCCTCTCTTTGACCTTGCGTGATCCCAGCTCCCCTTGCATCATCATCATCATCATCATCATTCTTCTCCTCCTCCTCCTCCTCCTCCTCCTCCATTTGCATTTCTTCCATGCACTCCCTCCAACGTCTCTCAGTTCAAGCCCTGCTTTAGTGGACTCCATATTGTTCTTTTCACATTACCATATCCCTTTGATTTCCTGCAGCAATTCACATGACAAACAAAACACTAGTAATCGTCAATGCTACAGGCCGACAAGCTGCTTCCCTTGCTCGTGTCGCCTCGGCAGTAGGGTAAAATCATGTCCCCTCAATCATCCTCGCCCTTACCGAGGCGGAGACACGGTGACACTGATAGGCGGGTAGGTATCAGGTCAGAGCCCATGTTAGTCAGAAGACCACCCCCGTGGGCCAAGAGCTTGAAGCCCTCCAAAATGTTATCCTCATCCAAGGCTCCCTCGAAGACAAAGAGCTCGTAGCAGACCTCTTCGCAGGTGCTCGCAAGGCATTCATCAATACCATCTCATGGGGCGACGAGGTGGCCATCGGCAAATCGCTGGCCGATGCGGCCAAGAAAGCTCATGTCCAGCAATACGTCTACAGCAGCATGCCTGATCATAGTGTCTTCGGGAAGGGTTGGCCAGCGGTGCCATTATGGAGCTGTAAATTTACGGTCGAGAATTACATGTGAGTCCAACATGTTCTCCCTCGTCCATGGCAAGCCGATGCTGATACTGTACGCAGACGGCAGGTGAGAGGAAATGGCTGTTCTGTGATACGACCTCAGCGCTGATACCAGCACTTCTGAACCTAGATCGGTCTCCCTGCTACCTTTGTCTACACAGGCATCTATAGTGGGTGAGGTGGACGCCAAGGAGAGCGAAAGAAGACTGACGATCGCCAGATAATAACTTCACTAGCCTCCCCATGCCTCTGTTCCGCATGGCTTTACAACCTGACGGTAGTTTCGAGTGGAAGGCACCATTTGATCCCCACATAGCCATCCCTTGGTTCGACGCAGAGCATGACACTGGTCCTGCGGTCCTTCAGATACTCAAGGACGGGCCGCAGAAATGGTCCGGACATCGGTATGTTCATTCATGTCCATCGCCCTCCCCAAAAGTGTCATGATCGCTGATGGTCTACCACCTCCAGCATCGCCTTAGCATTCGAGCTTCTCACTCCCACTCGTGTATGTCGCCTCTTTTCTTGTGCCTTACGCCGCCCAGTCCGCTACGTCTACGGTCAGACCATCGATATCGAAGTCAGCGTTCCAAACGGCTACAGAGAACAACTCCTAGCATTAGAGGTGTTGTTTGGAAAATACAAAGCTCCGTATTTTGGCATGGACCTGGAAAGGGGCGTTTCAAGGGAAGTAAATGATGCCAATGGCTGGAACGGAGACGGTAGCGGTGGCGATAGTGGGAAAGGCACTGCAGTCGAAGAAGCAAGAGCATTGTGGCCCGGTTGGAGAGGGATCGAAGAATATGCCCGGGAGGTGTTTGTATGTGCCCATGGGAGACATCTTGGTGGTTGATCTGAAGCTGATGAGGATATCAGCCGTTAGAGGAAGCTGCTCACGGGCTAACCTGGATGAACGAAGAGACATGACCTGATTATTGGCGTTGGGCCTACGTGCGGAAAAGTCAGCGTATTCCTCCCACCCGTGTTAGGAGAGCATGCATTTGCTAGGCGGCTTACTGTGTTGTGGTGCAGTGGAGCAAAGACGATCATCCCTTTCAATCGCTCATCAAGCGTGATCACGCAGTATGCCCCAGATAGCATTGGGGGGTGGCTCCACATTTGATGCTAAAAGTTCTGCCCCAGTCTGGGGTGTTCAAGCATCCATGTATGCAGAGTAAACAAGCAGAAGTCATCAATGTGGACAATGTAAGTAGGCCATGTGGTAGCCACAAGCCTTGACGTTTCCGCCTAATTTGATAATGGCTCATTGTGGCCTCGGTCAATTTCCATTTTCTATGCGATCTATAAACACTGATCTCTTTATTTACTTGGCCCCGGCTCCATCTCCTTGAAACCGCCGTCTGTTTCCCATACGCCTGCTTTGGTAAAATCCCCGGTCTCGCTTCCACTCATGTATCCAAACCTGAAGTACTCTTTCTCCATCTCATCGTTCCTGTAGAACGTATGCGAAGGGTCTCCTTCGCCATAGTACCACCGATGCCTTTCGACATCATTCACAAGCACGCTGACACCATCATACGGATGCGGGGGCCGGCTCCATAAGAAAGTGATGTTGGATGAACCAAGTACTGGCGCTGTGATGTCCGGCAGAAGCGAACCCAACTGTCCGTCCCCACGTAGATCCACCGTTGTCTGCAATATGGAATCAAAACCCCAGCGAGCGACGCCGTTGATGAACAAGCCTACGAGAATACCCTGATAGAGCAAGCCTGGCCTTGTCTGCGGACGCGTACCCGGCAGCAGTAGGAGGGCCAGTACATAGTGATGAATGCGAAGATTGAGAGGAGGTAGAGCGACACAGAGGAGTAGGAAAGCCACGAAAATGGAGTAGATGGCTAGGTAGCGAGGGAAGCGTCCTTCGAGCCGAAGATACCAGACCTGGCCAAGCGCAATGGTAAAAATTAGGAGTACGACCAGGACCAAAGCAAGTTTTGCTCCAGCCTGCACTTTGAGGTCGTGTGGAGTTAGGCGTTGTAGAGGAATGAAGGCGAATGTGTAATTGTTGAGACCGCCCACCCACGCTCCACCAAGCCACAGGACTGTTCTCTCGATGTTGGCTGTCAGGCCCGTCTGTTGGGGTTTGACGGAAAAGCGGTATATGACGAATGCCACGAACGCTGCTGGTAGAAAACGGCCAATGACAAGTGACGTGAGCGAGGCATAATCAGAGTGGTTTGGCGGATCTGAGACAAGTCCGACGTGGAAAAAGAGCATGGTGAATATCGAGCAGAAGAAGACAGGCGGGGAAGTCGTGCAGAGGGATAGGATGGTAGTGAACCCGCAAGTGACGGCGAGGAGCGGCCAACGCAGGTCCCTTACGCACTGCGATGAGAGTCCGGAGATGAACGTAAATGATTTTGGAAAGCTCGAATCAAATCCAATGCTCTGAATCCCATGCCGTTTTGTGGATGTGAAATTACTTTGCGGGCCGGAGAGAAGAGCGACACCACACCCACCATTATCATTGCCAACGAGACCCGCATGTATGGCTGCTTGACATATAAACGAGTCACCGCGATAGACAGTGTCTGGAATAGTGAAGTTCTCTTTTCTCCTTGTTGGTCCGCCAATCACATACGGCTGGTAGTTAATCTCCTGGTCACCCACCGCATGTGGGTTTAGCACCTTCACAGCCTTACAATTGGCAGGACATCTAAAGGCGAGGGTAGCATTGTCAAAAGGGCGACATCTGTTTCCGTTCAAGCCACAGCTGTTACCGGGATTCCTACTGCAGTCAGTATTGAGCATCCCGGGATCTAGAGTACGGCTCACCAGAAGCTTGCTCCGCACCAGATCGGTTGCGGTTTGCCGTAACCTTCGATGTTGCCAGCTTGTGCAGAGTGGTTGAGCACCAGAATGAAGGTCAAGAGCCAGCAGAAGTAGAAAAAGGCTAGTAGAGCAGCCTTATGTCTTTGCTTCGGTAGGTGATTAGCAATGAACCTTGCCAGTGATTCTTGTATCCACGGGAAGAAGGGCGTGATCTTCTGTAATTGAGGCGGATCAGGCCCCTTAGACCAGGCTACGACCGCTCGAGCAGCTTGTCGAACGCGGACAGGCACCCATCTCCAGTGAAAAGACATTGATGACTCGCGCAGCCAGACTGGGAGAGGAGATTGACTATCTCCCGCGTCTGATGACCCAGACTGCATATGCATATCCGATCCCCGGGTGTAGATGCTTCAGGTCCATCATCTCTCTCTTCGTACTGCCAGGCAGGCTGTTCATCAAGTAGCGCGCCGTTTTCGGCGTCATCATTATGGTTTTCAGGGCCCATGACGGTGTAAGGAAGCAGGCGAATGAAGTCCTGCAGATTGGTTAGCTGCGCTCACTCATAATAGATCTCCGACAGCCTACTGGTGCGATGGGCTCCGGGGAAGAGCGGTCGCGCACGGTGCCTGCATGCTCCAATGACTCTACCTAATCAAGGTAGGATGTAAAAGTAGCGCATCTTTCGACGAGCAGGTAGTGCGAGGACAGGATGAAAGGGGATGGAAGAGTGGTTATTGGCTTAAGGTAGGGTCGTCGTCCTTAGACTTGACCGCCAGTCTGCAGTCTCGCACTTTGCAAGCCAAGTGT